TTTGGTAAGTGTCAGCTCTCATTGTTGTCAGGATACATCCTAAGTGTCTCAAACAGCCTCATTAAAAAGGGAAATAGAAAACAGTTTTTGGGAGGAGTGATGGAAAAATGTTACTTAGTTGGGTGAAACATTCCTGATCCTACACACTATTTAAATAAAGGAATACATTATCATTATCAATATTATTATTCATTAGTCATTTTAGTTGCATTTATTCTTGATACAGTGTATTGAGTATGTGCCAGATTTTGACAATAACTTAAAAGGGACCAACCATGTTGAAAAGTGGAAAGGGTGGTCACATGGTTACCAAATTAGTTGTGGCAACAACAAAAAAAAGAGCTAATGCCAGAAGTTCAGTTCTGATGTCATTAAAGTGTGGTTGGGGTTTTTACTGAAGGCGTTCAATCATCCCACAAGCATTTTTTATATACCATACTGGCGCCGTAAATATAAAATAACTGTATATTTAAGTGTGTCTAATGCTTAATAGATAATACACATGACCTAACAAGAGCAATTTCACAATTTGTGGTTTGAATTCTTTAAGATATTGAGCCAGGAAGAAATGAAGCAGAGTCAAGCATCCCTATCTAAAGATCCTGGCTGGAGTGGATGACTTTTGCAGTTGAGGTGACTAAGGAGTCTTATTTCTAGGCCAGATTCACATTAGTGACATTTATCATTGAGAGGGAAGATGGTATAATTAGCTTGTCAGTCTACTTTAGGCTGAGCTGGCGCTCTTTGTGAAGAAGAATGGACTGCAAGCCCAAGGAGCTGACAGCCAGTCGATAATGCGGCAATTAATGTCATAAATAATTCTAAAGCCAATTATATTTAAATGGACCTCACCCTCTAAAACAGCACTTTATTTCCTATCACTTTATGATGTGTTCTGTATCAAACAGCGGGAGCAGATTTTCCTTCTTTATTTCTACATATGGCTGACATATGGTGAAGCCATAATGTGAGGCATAAAAATCAGAAGGGCCATGCAGGAGATATATTTGTTGATTTAGTTTTCTGTTGACTTATGAATCCCTTCTTATTGCTGAAGCATCACCTGCGGTAAAAGGCAAATACAAAGTGTAAAACCACTTTTAATCAAAAATGATATTGCCTCAATGTGGCTCGCTGTATAAAATGTCTGCAGCTCTTAAAGAATGTGAGTAATTTAATGGCAGTAGTGGTTAAATATATCAAATGCTCCCTGTGGCCTTGGGAGGGTCAAGCCCAGTGTGATATATAGAGAAGACTGTGATGGCTGAAGGTCGTGTCAGCTTCTTCTGCATAATGCATGAATCCTGTAACTCTCTCTGACTCCAATCTTCTGAACCTGAACCTTGGGATGAAAATTTTACTAAGTAAATCAGCGAGCATGCTGGCATTTCTATTAACCTCCACTGTGGAGCTGACACAAACATGAATCACAGTAAATAATATCTTGCAAATTGTAAATCATGTTTACAACTTGTGCTGAGAAGTGATGCTATTGGATACTGCCATCTGTTTGCTGTTTGTTATTGCTAATTTATTTGAACAGAAGAAAAAGCGAGTGTATTCTAATGTGGAAAAATTACAATTTAGCATAATAATAACAACAACAGGAAAGCACTGATTGCTGATGCTTAACCAAATCACATTTACTTCATTTATTTCTTAAACCAACCTATAAAACACATTTTAACAACATCCGCAGATATTATTTTATGTTCTATCAAAGGAGCAATATTCTGTTATTATGCAGGCGGTATTTTGCTTTTGATGGGTGGTATTTCCCACTTCAAAGATGAAAATAGCCACAAGCTTTGATTTATGCATGCATGGAGTGAAACAAAAGAAAAGGAATTGTTGACCTTTACAGGGAACATAAAGGGTCAGTGCGGCAACTGTGCCTTACGGGCAAATTGCCTCCCAGTGCTGGCGGTCTGTCCTCAAAACTGGGATGAAATTCTTATCTTTTGCCATTTATTTTCAGTTTTAATGCTAAATGTGGAGGGGCATGATGTTTTTCTCTGTGTTTAGGTCACCTCGCAGCAGCTTGAAATAAAACAGAAGCCACAGTGGCTGATATGTTAACAGCAAAGTTTTAAATTTAAATTGGATTAATACAAATATTGAAGTGGCTGCGGTGAGAATCTTTACTCTGTTTCAGACACTGCGTGCAAGTCTCCTAGCTCTCCTGCCCCCCTTTCTTTCTGTATCAAAGGGTAACCTAATGCAAAATGTATATGGCCCTTGGCACAAAAGATGGTGGTGCAGCTCTGTACAGGAAGATCTGTGTGCTAAAAGCTTGAAACATCTGTGTAAACACATGGCCTTTTTCCAACCATGTAGTCAATGTTCTCATAGCCTTAAGATAGATGTCCAAGGCAATATACCTTGCCCCGGGGCCATACTGGAATGGCTTTGAACTTCTGAAAAACCTTGAGCTTCAAGCAATATCCACTCTCAATATTCCAGCTTGACAGAATAGCATAGAATAATTCAACCTATGGCTTTTATTTGACTCCTTTGTTGATCTTAGCATGGGATCGATAGAGCAGTGGAAATGTTTTAGAAATGATAAGGATACAGGATTTGTATGATGCAGTGTACGATATTACGGGGTTATCTATTGCCAGATTATTTTAAAATGTAAGGGGTTTTCTTTATAGAACAGTGTTTAGAAAGAAGAAGACAAACAGAACAAAACAGAGAGGACCTTCTGCCTTAGTTGTTCTTTAATTCTGTTAATAGCCCAAGGTAAAGATTTATCTGCTCTTGTCAATTTACCTCAGCCTCAATATAAAGCACCAAGGTCACTTTTTCCTTGCCTGGCCCACAGGATTAAATTGTCATGTCACTCTAATAGGCAGCACAGGGAATCATTAGTCCAGCTCAGCTGCCTGACTGATAGGCATTTCGGTCCAATCATGGGAGTGTGCCGCCACAGGCCAGCCAGTATTGACACTGTGTCAGGACGGAGAGGGGACACCTTAATCAGCCAGGACACTCTCAACATTGATTTGACAAGCTGTCGTAATGACCCCCTTGTTTTGGTAAAGGATCACTGTTTATCCCGGCTGGCATTGATGCACTTGGAGTGTTGCATTGTCATGGAAACTATTATCACCAGCCAAGCCTGAGAGATGTGTTCAGAGTGGGCTATGGATTTGTGTGTATGTCTGTGTGTATATCCATGTACAACCCAGTGTGACTTGTAACTACATGTAGTTAATGTAGCTTGAAGAAAGGTCACTCAACAAATGTTATCTTCTTCAATTTATAAGTTACTTGGGTTTATTTATAAGGTGCCGCAATTCTATGGAGCATCATTCAGTAACTTTTGAGCATCAGCAGACTGAGAGGACCTTTAGAGAGAACTACCAATACTATAATAAGGCTTTTTGTAAAACACAACATAATATATTATGTCTAAAATGATCAAGGTAAAGTATGTCGGAAAAACGAAATAATATAGTATGTCAAAAATCTCATAAAGAAATGACCTTATATACTATGTCGGAAAAAAAAGTAATAGTATGTCGAAAACTCAGAAAAATGATTATAATCTAGTATGCCGACAAAAAAGTCACAGTATACTATTTCAAAAATATAACAAAAATCGACACAGTATAGTATGTCAAAAATATCAGAAAAAGGTCACAGTATAGTGTGTCGAAAATAGTTATAGCAAAGTTTTTTGAAAATATCAGAAAAAACATAGTATAGAATGTCAAAAATATAAAAAAAGGTCATAGTATAGTACGTTGAACATTTCAGAAAAGCAACTAATAGTATAGTGTTTCGAAAATATCAGAAAGAAAAGCCATAGTATAGTTTGTAAAAAATATCAGGCGAGACAACATAGTATAGAATGTACAACATTTCTGAAATAAATTACATTGTATAAATGTCTTAGTATAGTATGTCTAAAATATCAGTAAAAAGATAATAATCCAGTATGTTGAAATAAAAGTTATGGTATACTATTTAAAAAAAATACTTTGACTATAGTAAAGGATGTGTGTACATAGTATACTATTTATAATCATTAAAATATAACAAATCGACATTGTATAGTATGTTGAAAATAACTGAATAAATGTCATAGTATGGAATTAAAAAATATCAGAAATAACGTCATAGTATAGTATGTCCAAAAACAGTGTTTGAATACTACGAAATTTAAATCACTAACTTCATTAAAAATTCTATAATATTTCCTTGCAGTTGATATCTTTAGTAATCAGGTGGGATGTGTGTTTGTATCAAGAAGGTGACGGTGCCACCGGCAGCAGGATCAGGAGAGCAGCCCTCTGTGAGGTGTTAGACTGTAAATATTATTGGCATGTTGACAGTCTCCCGCAGTGCCATGGTGTGTAAAACCGTTAACAGCCAACATGATGGGCCCCCTCCATACTCAAGGTGAGAAAGTGGAGTGTTTTTATCGCCATTATCCAGAGGGAGCTATGCCGTGTCACATGATCAGAAAATGCCCTACAGTATGTCATCATCAAAGGTGAAGGCTTTATATATGAAAAATATGTTTTTCCCATGAGCTATTTGAGTATAGGGCAAAGGTGGGAAGTAGTGGAGTACAAATACTTCGTTATTGTACTTAAGTACATTTTTCTGGTATCAGTACTTTACTCGACTACTTATTTTTCTGACGACTTTATACTTTTACTTCTTACATTTTCCAAACAGGTTTGTTACAAAATGAGGCATGGCTAAAATGCATGATCTGTTTGGTATTTTGAAAAAAAAAAAGTATAAATATGCCTTATATAGGTATGGTCCTACAGTATATTATTCAAATATAGCATGATAGGTCCACTTTAAGTACATTTCGAAGCCCATACTTCTTTACTTTTACTTGAGTAAAGAAGTTTAGTCAGTACTTCTACTTTTACTAGAGTATTTTTAAACACGAGTATCTGTACTTATACTTGAGTAAAGGATGTGTGTACTTTTGCCATCTCTGGTGAAGGGCAAATAAATAACATGACACCACGTAGAACACAATACATCAGCTTTTAATTTGTGAAAATACAAAATGAAATCATGTACAATTTTATGTACAAGCCTATTTGTACAAGACAATAAACTGTAATCATTATTGGGTGTTATGACATAGTCAGAAATATCAACTTAGCACTGTCATTGTATCCACAAGTCAATGTGCTAAAAAGAAATTGACAAAATAATACAAACTAGACTGCAATGTCGAATGTGTCTCCACCCCACAGGTACTGTCAAACAAGAACACACTAGAAAGAAATATTTTTACATTAAGCTTTACAGATTTCTTTGAAAAGAACATAAAATGAATTGCTATCAGGCGCTGCTATTGATGATGGATAATTTAAAAATAGTTTTAAGACTTCAAATTATTTACTACAGTTATCTCCAGGGAATTACAGAGACGTATTAAGAATTTCAAACACTACATAAAAAAAAAATTCAGCAAAGAGAAAGTACATTTCTCAGTTTCGTGACAATAATACATTGAGATTGAATTTCGAAGCCTCTTTTCGCAGTAGTGGGTCTTCTGGAGTCCTCCGTTGGCTTCAGCACTGCCCGGCACATTACTGGCACTGAGGGATGGATTTTCTCTGTGCCACTAAAAACATTTGATAAACTCTTTGCACATCCAACATGAATCTTAGCCTAGACTGCAATGCGTCCTGTGGATTGAGCTTGGGAAATGTTTACCTTTCTTTCCCTTTCATTGATTTTGTAGTAAAGTGACAACAGTGCCAATATAGCTATGTTTTACAATTGAAATAAGACAAGACAAGATTAATTAACACCCTAAGCTCTCAACACGTGCTTGTACAAAATGAAACAAATGGATCTGTGCTTCATTTTATGAAAATATCAGATATGTAATTGATCCCCAACATCAATTGGAACACTCATATAGCCAAATAAATTATGTATGATAGAGCTGTTTTTTTTTTAATGCATCTACAAAAAGCATGACCATGTCGGATTTTGGCATTAAGATTGGTCATGGAGGACATAAGCACTGAATGGCCTCCAAGACAATCCTGTGTCAGGCAGTGCTTACAGCCAAAGGAGGACTTAAAGATGCCCACTGCGATATGAGGCTTTATCATCTACAGACTTATCATATGGTGTCATGCTTTACCATAGTATTTAGCTTTTTTCCCTAAAGTAAATTAATATCTCTGTCACTGTATTATAAACGGTCTGAGATTTTTGGTTATATTCTAATGTCAACAAAACAGCTCTATCATATTTGGCGCTAGTTTAAAAAAAGAAGAAGATAGAAGATTTACCCCTGAAGAAACCTTGCAGATACTTAAAAGCTTTACATACGATTTCTGGGTTTTGGACATTGCAACCAAACAGCGACATGAAAACAGTTATGACAAACGACTCAAAAATGCAAAGATAAGACATATATAAATGGATAGAGATAAGGCTGGAGCCAAATGCCATTTACACATGGACACTGGCCATCTTAACTGTCACAAATGTTGTGAATTAGCTCCAAATGGCAAAAGAATCACTGAGAAGTCAGTCACTAACAATGCCATTGTGGTGGGATTGCAGCTGGATGTAAAATACACATTTGAACATACTGTAAAGAAGAACTCTGCAACACTGGGTAAAGTCAATGCAGTAATAGTAGTTGTTCATCAACAGCTAAAAAGGCAACTTTTACAATTGCAAAACTTGATCCAGTTATAATAATCACCTCTTATAGTAGCAGAAGTCGTTTTTACATTGCCGTTTCCTTCGAATGACCCTCATTCCCCAAAATGGAACAAAAAAAGTAATGGAGTCCGGTCACCACTAAAGATTAGCTGTGCAAGCTAATGGTTGAGTGGTGGCGGCATTTGACTGTGATGATTGTCTTGATGTGTATGATTCTAAATCTGATCGTACAATAAGCTGCAGGGGTGAATGAGGGAAGCGATTTGTGTTCGTCTCACCTAAACTCAACTGATATTTAATTTGCAGATGAGAAGATGAACTGAGTCTGACTCCCACACGATGAGTCGAGCGTCCAGATGTCAGCGCAGGGCCAGATCTCAGCACTCGTCCTCCGCTTCTCTGATGGGTGGAATCAAGCTGCTTGTGGATTTAAACTGAATGACTTGGTTGATGGAGAGCGTATTCACAGGCTTGATCTGTATGGTCCTCAGGTGGGTATCCTCCGGCTCATCTGTAAACCACGTCTTTTCTGAGGAAAAACAAAATCATATAGGGACAGTTAATGCTTCATAGACTACAATTTCAGTTCTTGTTCATGTGCACAAACAATGTATATTCAAATAACTTCTTGTTTTCATTGAGTTTTGGAAATTTGGCCTGATAAAAATATGCTTTTAGATTTATTTGAATGACGTCCCATTGTCCCAGTTTCAACCTTTTCAAACATTTTGTATCATAGTGCCTTTGAAGCATGCTTTTTTGTTGGGTCAGCAGACATGCAGGTCACCCGTTAAATACAATATGTTTTCAAACTTCACTGTACCACAATATGAGTTCATACTTTTCATTTACATTTCATACTGGCAAGGGTTTTATCTTTTTGATGGGCTTCAGGCTTTTGGCTTGATGCAACTTTCTTTTCTTATAGGAGGAAATGAATATGGCATAATATATCGCTGGTGATTCATCCACTTGGCAAGTCCATGGTCATGCATTTTCATCAGCATGACTTAAGGCAGTGGTGCTGCAGTACGTAAACACATGTGCAAGTAGTTGCCAATAATAAAACATCAAACATGATACAGAATAAAGTGAAAGAACATCAAACCATTCAGTTGCAACCACACATTCTGCAGTCCAACCTACAGTGAGATGTACTGCTTAGGTTATAGCCATGCGGTCCTGATGCAGTCATTTGGAAACACTAAACTACTTGGCTTTCTGTCAGAGGGCAAAATGTCAGCAAGGACATAACCGTGTTCAATGCATTATTTAACATCATGCATAATCATTCACTTCCATACCTTGGCCCACTCTACTCATCCTTGTTGCACTTTGAAAAAAGAAAGTAGTACACCTAATGTAAGCTAAAGGGAAAACGCTAATATGAACATTAATAACAGATACTGCACAGGGGTGTAAAAACAGCAGATGCTCTCATTATATATGGATGAGGAGAAGGTTAAACCGTAGGGGAGACCAACAACTAACAAAAACGAAACGTTTAAAAAATATGTATATATATTAGAAAATATTTTAGTTAGCATCTAGCTGCTGTAGCATGTATCAAGCAGCCATATTGTATGGACCAATCCGTGGAGCTCCACACACACACACACACACACACACACACACACACACACACACACACACACACACACACACACACACACACACACACACACACACACACACACACACACACACACACACACACACACACACACACACACACACACACACACACACACACACACACACACACACACACACACACACACACACACACACACACACACACACACACACACACACACACACACACACACTCTCTCTCTCTCTCTCTCAGCGGCGAAACGGTGACGCGCTGGGGGGGGTGCTAGTGGAGCTTCGCAGCGGCGAAATTGTGGCGCGCTTACACTGTAGGTGCGCCGCGTTTGGGGGTGCGGGGGGGTGGGGGTGCTAGTGGAGCCTCACAGATGGGGGTGCTGCAGCCCCCTCAGCACCCCCCCTTCCCGCGTCCATGGTGCTCAGGCTGAGTTCAGGCTGAGTTTCGTGATGTCTCGCTGTCTCGCAGAACCCACGCAGCAACCAGGAAATGACACCAGTAATACAGCTCACACTGTCCCCTCCTCACAGCAGCGAGCCGCGCAACATCCCGCCAACACGGCGCCCAGACCCCACGCAGCATTCTGATCTGTTTGTCATTACTGGTGTCCTTTTCTGGTTGCTAACGCCATAATCACTGATGTTCCGCTGTAACGGTGGTGGACTCATCAGAACAGAGTGGGCGAGCTGACCAATCAGAGCACACTGGGCTCACAGGGAGGGAGGGGGGGGGCAGGAGCTCCAACAAGCCGTTTAGGACAGAGAGTGAATACACATACTATACAGAGATGCTGTATGAGAAACCAATGTGAGTTTGGAAAATTGGACAATATAAATCTATTCTAGTAGACCTCAACAATGGAATTATGATCAGTAGAAATGGCCATGACATGGGACCTTTAACATTTGTTCATGCAGAAATAACTTAAACGCATACCTCAGAATCCTCTAAATGTGTTCATAGTAGAACATGTTTAGATATTTGTAAAAGAAATACAAACAGATGGATTGTTGTTGTCACGTAACGTAACCACTTTAGTGTTGTGGAAGCGTCTCCAAGCCGAGGCATTTCAGGTATGGTTGGCTGGGGACATACTATAATATGACTTTTTAAGTCATAGCCTACCAAATTATGGCTATTGTCACACTCAAATACTTGCTATACTAAACATTTAAGGCATTTAATTTTAGGACACTATAGTATGACATTGTTTGACATGCTTCACTTTTTGCAATTTTTATGGTGTACGACACTGTTGATACAATTTGGTTTGCTTCTTTGATCTTAGACCCTCATCAGGCATTAGGGCAGTTGTAGCAGAATGTAAAAACACTTGAGGTTGCTTAAATGATTTAATAACCAACATTTTGTACCTACAAATATCTTAATTTATCATAATTAATACTTCATGGTGGCAAATAACATCTAAGTGTAGCATTTGAATGTCAATGGAAATCAAAAGGCATTGAGAGGATGTGATGTTCAGTGTAACATAGCCTAATGTACTTCTTGAAGACGTATTACAAGTGCGATTCAAGTACAATAAGGTTCAGCTTCAATGTAACTATAGAAAACAAGTTTAGACCGAGCAAAATGTGTGTCTCAAAGTGTACCTTAAACAAATTGTTTATTCAGATTGCTTTTAACTGCAAAGGGCTTTTGGATTGGTTTCGAAGGCTGCTTTCACTACTGCATTTTTGTTGATTTGGTCTTGAGCAAGAGAAAAAAGATACATTGTTAAAAAGAAAAATCCCCTTGCTACTTAGGAATGACAGAATTACTCAGGTACTGCAGTTCTTGGCATAAGAAATGTATGGACAAATTGGCAGCCCCTCGGAAAGACAGAAGCCCTTTGGGGGGGGGGCTTCTCTGCCCTATGTCATTGGGAAGGCCCAACCACACTGTTCTGAATGGGGTTAAACGCACACTTAAACATACAAGTAATACATACAAACACAGTAAGACACAAACACACACATGAACACCAACACATGTTACTGTCACTTAGCAAAAGGACAGTTAGGACAGTAACGGGTGGCAGGCACATACTTTTGTTTGTCTCGTGAGTCCCTACTCTTGACGCGGTTGGTGCGGTTGGTGGTCGGTATAGAGTGGACGGAGGAGCTCTTTTTGCTGGAGGAATGGGACGAATGGGAGGAGTGGGAGAGGCTGGTCCGAGACTGGCCCGCGTTGTGGTCAAACTGCATCAGGCAGAATATCAGGTCTGAGGGCACCAGCTCAAACGCATAGGGAGGATTCGTTATGACATACCTGGAAGGGGAAAGGAGCAGATGGCAGACCGGTTCTAAATTTAGCAAAGGTGGAAACAAAGGCTGTTTTAAATCTCAATGCTAGGACACATTAGGTCCATACTCACCGTTTGGTACATTGGCTTTGTTGGTTTAGGTGTGCGTCCCGTAACCGATAAATGCCAAAGCACAACATGTTGTAGGTTTTCAGGGCTTTACAAAACAGATCACCGTAACAACCCCCATCCTGCAAAACAATGACAAAAAAATCCTAAATATATAGTACACAGTCTATATTTTCACAAAAGCAAAAAAAAAAACATCATAATCATCAATTACAAAGAATTTATAAACCTCTAGCATAGAAAATAAGTCCTGAACTGATCATTGTTCATTTGATAGAGGTAGATTTAAGTCACGTGTAACATTTCAAGATAATCCTACTGGCTTGTCCACAGCAGCATTCAAAACAACAAAAAATGACACAGTAGTAAAAAATTGAGTAAAACTCTGATATATTTCCATTATTGACCAATGTCAAGCTGTATTGAAAGTGCAGACCTATTCCTAAAGGGAATAATTGAAAGCTTGGTAAAATACTGCATATCTTTAAATATATAAAAAGTGAAATGATCTTTATCATATCCATGTGTATAGACTTCTTTCTTTTTTCTATTGATTGGAAAACATCATATTTATAAGGCTGTGCTCATACTGTATGAGTAAGAAATGTTGGGATGTTTTTATTCAATGCTCATACCCTTAATTGAGGATGACTAGAATGGATTAAACTCACCTATTTTTGGACATACAATCCCTTTCACTACACAACACAAGCAGACATAGATGTGCTGAGTCCAGGGGGGACACAGACCAGTCTCTTACCCCCAGGTCGGCGAAGGGCCCGTCGTACAAGGCCAGCTGTGCCACGCGACACCTGTCCCTGTTCGCCAGCGTCTGTGGCGTGCTGTAGCCGCCTCGCAGCGCATTCTCCTCCGCCAGCAGCCCCTCCAGCTCCGGCGTCGCCCCGCCTGTTACCAACGTCCGGATCAAGGTGAGGATATTGTCATTGAAGTATGTCTAAAGGAATGAAGGTAGAGAGGGGATAAATCCTTCAGCAAACGCCACCACAGTCACAATTGAACCTTCTCAGAGTGCCGGCCAGGCCCAATGATGCTATCTAACCGTGCCCCGATGTGTCACATCGCTCTACACCCAGTGAAGAGAAGGAGAATCCAATTACTGCAGGTTACCCAAATACCCATCACTCAACACAGGAAGTCCTGGCACACATTCAGGCTGTCCAGGCATTTCTTACAGCAAAAAAACTGACATTTATGTAGAAAACGTCAGGTTTACAAACTGCATGAAAAGACTGAAGGTATACTTTCCCCAATGAAGTTGCTATCTTTTAAATGACATTCTGTTACGGCTTTGTTAATTTAAAAAAGGGCAAGTGTCTGTACCCCGGTCTCTTGTCTCCCCCTGCTTGTACGGTACAGTGACATCTCCCTTGGCTGCTGACAGCGCTATTGACTCAGATGATGGATGAGGGCTGTCCATTAGGTAGCATTACCTTTGTCTACACTGGAGCGCACTTGAAGGCAGCTTTGTTCTAACCTCACTCAAACTGAAAGGGAGACAAGTGAAGCCATCATACCCAGTCTTGTCAACTATTGTTTTAACGTGAGAGGAGAAAAGAGTTCCCACATTTTGGGGAGGGGCTGATATAAAAACACAAGATTTCTTGCATATTTCAGATCATTTACGGATATTATATGTCACTGCACAATAAACTAATACTGCCTGCTAAATCATTTTCGACTTACAGCACTCATTAGGGAATCCAACACACTGACGGCGAAGGCTGTCCCACAGGCAAACGGCTGGGTGAGGTATAACTCTGTGTCAGGGTCGTCATCGTCATCTTGGTCCAGGAACTGAACGTTTGAGTCGTTCACTATGGAGATAAACATGAACATTTTATTAGCAATTTGTATTTGTTCATGGTTTTCTCTGTTCTACAAACCAGATCTCATGGAAAAGTTTTGTGATTTTAAAGGATGGATCTTGTGCTTAAGAAGCAGGCACTTGATTCACGTGAAGAGGAAGACACAGAAGTAAAGTGGTTGTGCAACACAGTCAGAAGCTGCAGATATGGACTGTATTATAAATGGACTGTATCATAAATCTGTGTATGGTTCCAAAAATTCTCCTTAGTTCGTAATTTGGACAAAATAGTTTTAAATTAAACCATGTCTGGTATTTAAGTTTGGCCTTGTAGCTAACTTGCCTTTGCTACATTCCATATCCAGGACATGCACACTCATGACACCATGCATATTGTCGAAGATTCAGGCCTTGACTCAAAGTCCTCATATAGTCAGTATCAGAAACACCAATATGCCATTGTTTGTCTTGTAAATCCAAGACAGAAAGTCCAATTAGTTGTACTAGCATGTCAAACCCAATGAAAGTATCTCAGTGCCCGAGAACCTTCTTTGAAGACGTCTTTGAGGATAAAAACACATGCAGAAGAATGAAGAAAGTAACGATGTAAAATTTAGTTGGAGAACTGCTACTTCTGTGAGGACAGGAATAAATGTCAGTCATATCGACAGTGCAGAGATGAAAGTAAGTGCGCGGGCCAGAGAATGTGATCTGACAGAAGATGCTATAAGAACAGCCACAAGGACTTCTGAGGGATCAAAGGCCTTGTAATTCTTAGAAAAATAAAAAGGAAAAATGTTGCTTTGAGATAAGGGGGCCAAAACAAGACAGGCAATTCCAACCACAACCAAGGGGAAAATGTGCTGATGCCATGGGAATGGACTGAGCCTCTAGTGCAGCGAGAGAAATCAAAAGGAAGCTGATATGGAGGCAGCAGCAGTAAGAACACTGCAGAACAGGACAGAGGCACTTCTTACCAAGCTCAGTTATCATTTGTATGCTGGTCCCACTGCTTTTATCCTGACTGAATGAAATCACAGGCAGTTTTTTGCCTGGCTTTGCTAATGGTGCTAGACAAGTGTTGAGGAAAAACAGTTACTGGAGCATGTCAACAAGGGACAAAAAAAGCAGTAAAGAAAACCTCCACTTTTAGTACGGTTAGTCAAGTGTCGACAGCCTCTAATTGCAGAAATTGTGTTCTCAGATCTGTTTACAACTATTCAACTGGATAAAACAGGCAACAGTAGAGCTAGCATATCAATCAGCTGACAGGAGAGAACAGCAGCAAGCAGCAGCAAGCATACCTAGCTCTGTTATGATGGGAATATTTGCTCCCGTTGTGACGGAAGTCTGCCTCACTAATCCATGGACTGGGCTGTTTTCAGGAGAGGATCTATCCATCCCGGGTGGTGTAAAACCTAAATGGACACACATAATATAAAGCACATCTGTTAATGCAATATTCAATACTTCATCAGAGGCTACAAACCGGCGTATCAGCAAAACTAATACGCCGGGGCTTTTCCATCCGTTCCCGGCCACTGCTATCGCATAAAGTTGCTGAGTGCGATGTTACAGTATTCTTGACAAGGTCCAATATTAGTCTATCCATAATAGATGTGACATACTGCTCATTTTGTTTCCCTTAAATTGTGTGTGCATGGACACGGAATACTTTTACACACACACACACACACACAAAAGTATAGAGAGTAAAGAGCCAGGAAATAGAAAATAAGCGCCGCAAGATTGAATTCAAATTGACTTGACATTCCTTGCTTTCCTCAGAGTGACAAGTAAGCACATTAAATCAGTGATGCTGTATGTATAATACATAGGCCGTGTTTTGACATCCATCACTTACTGCTGACTACGGCAAATGCGAGGTCATACATGTATTAGAGAAATAATGAAATTGGCAGGGTTTTTTTTTTTACCTCAGGTCAAAAGGTTTCGAAAAGCATTTCTCAGTGTCGCAGAATGACCATTATTGATGGCCATCTTAAGCTAACTGAGTGCTTCAGTTGCTGTTTTGAAAGCTGTAACATGCAATATTCATAAATTATACACATTATGTTCCTTTTACAAACAGTCCCATAAAGTGAAAAAGCCAGGTGAGGCATTTTAGCCAACACTGTGCTTGTTGCCACCAATTAGGTTTGTGAAGAAACCAGTTGTTACAGTAACCTGAGGAACAGTCACTAGGGTTTACTGTCAAATGCACTGACACCAGGTCAGCCAGGCAGCACCCAGTGAGGGATATTCTGTGTGCCAGGACCCTGTCCCTTCCAGGCGGTGCAGTGAACTATGATAGGGCGCTCCTTACCTTGGGAATTAGCCTGCAAGACCCCGATGCTGTCGTCAAACAGCATGGATTTGATGTTGAGTGACGCCAAGATGCATTCCTTGTCCTGAAGTGATGCATCGTCAATATTGTTCTGATTGGCTGACAGAATGACACACATGTCGCAGAGGTTGATGTTTACAGCCCTCAGATCTGCCCGACTCAACGGCGTGCCCTTTGAGAGGAAGTGAAGGAGAGAATTTGTAATCTCACCTGTATGACACCAAGAGGTGAATGAAAATGCAGCAACTTTAAAGTTTCATCTTTTTTGGGACTTGAGCTCTAAGTTAGCTTTGACATTTTAAAGATTGAGCCCAAACCATCATTTTTCAAACCTAAATAAAGCTTTGAGTTGCTTAAGCGTATCTTTTTTTAATGCAAAGAATACATTTTGATTTTGCAGGAAAAACTGAAGGATCACTGTGGGAAAAATGTCATTGCACACCACCTAAAAGTTAGGAGATATTTCACTTATAACCACAAATGTCCACATCATGGCAGCCCTAGTGGAAAAGTCAGGGGATTACTGTATAGAGCCACCAGAATACATTGTTTGGTGACTATATATATATATATATATCTGTAATTCATTTCATGCTAATCCGCCTAATATTCAACATATTTCATTCCAGATGTTTATTCTATCTGGGTGTTTGGTTATACTCACAGGTAAAATGGAGACCTTTGGAAAATTGTGAAGAGTTTCCCACTCCCGCTTCAGATACTCCAGGGAGCCGACAAACACAATGTGCTTCAGCTCATGGTAGTGGAAGTTGCTCGCTCTCAGAGGCATGACGAAGTTTCGGAGACCGATCAATGCTGACTTCACATCTCCGAATATGCACACGACCACATGGCCGCTCAGAACCGTCATGGCTGCCTCGCTCCGGGTCTGAGAGGGAAAAAAGCACACACGGTTTGAAAAATATATATCATTTATATATGTTTACGACATAAATGTGACATGAAGTGGCTTTTTTAGCAAACGTTAGTGCTTTCTCTTCTATCAGTCGCCTATTTAAGCTGTCAAATATATTATGCAGTTCATGACTGCAATTGACTATGAAAGTAATTTGAAAAATGGCATATGTATTAGGACAAGAAATGTTCTATGTACAGGGAGCCCATATAGCAAATGACATGTCAAACACCTCATTACAGAGTGTTTAAGTGCCCTGTCAACCTCTGATGGTACTTTGTGACATGACACATCTGTCACCGGGTAGAAGAGTGTCAGGGACAAATGACGTGTGCCGAGTAAAAGAGCAGAACCCACCAAGATGACCTTCTCGATGTCTTTGGACGGGCACCAGTGAAACATCCCTGTGGAGTCGTATTTCTTTATGTTCTCGTCCATGCTCTCCATCTGATCGTTCCCCGGGATGACAAGCGGGTCATGTCTAATCAAACAAAAACATGGGGAGAGGGAATGAACAAATACCATCACCATAAACACAAATTAAATCAACTAGTTCTTGGCATTTGATTTATAAAGCTTAATTCTTAGATGATTAACCTGAGAATATAATCCACAAGCCTGCGTAAATAATAATACTGATGAAAGATTTTTTACAAAAAGAAATATGAGGTTGAATAAAAACAAATAGGTTAAATAAATAATAATAAAAATCAAGTTCACAAGAGATGTTAATAAAATAGATAAAACCACCTTAAAATTGGACAAATTAAATATAATAAATTGAAAAAAGAAATAATGTATAATAATACAAGAAGATTAAATTAAAAACATTCATCAATAACCATCTGAATATTTAGGGCTCCTTCACACAAATAAAAAAAGTAGCTTTCTTCCTTTTCCCCCCTCTTTACTCATTCCTGTCAGAGCCCATCTGCAGAACTGCCAACAAAACTGCCATGTCATCAAGCAGAGTGACATCAGCAGCGGCAGCCAGGCGGAAGAGGATGGCAGCAACACACTGCGCTGACTGGCATGAGCACGGAGATGCAATTACGCCCCCTTACTACATACAGCTTTTGACGTTGTGTGCTGCGTTATAAAAGCTTTAACAGACCAGACTTTAAATATTTCAGCAATTTGCCCAATCATATTTGCAGTTCCATGTGAAGGGTATTAATGTTTAAACAGAGCATCAGAACTACATAAACTCATTTCACTGAGCGCTGCGGTGAGCTTATCCTACCTAACACTGACCACTAAAGTGGTCTCAACACGAGTACCTGCTGTTCACCACGCTTGTTCAGAGTGATATGATTTGTTTTAATATATTTTAAATATAATACTGTATACTCCCATGGTCACCTCTTCTACTTCTCAAGCCCCACCCACAAGAAGAAAAACATCAAACATACAATCAAATAAGCTAAAGAAACAACCCAAAACTATTATTTTAAATAAAACAAATGTAGGTAGGCTATACAAAAGGTATTAAAAAAAAGATATGCATTGTCTTTCTCCTAACATAAATCATGCATGTTCATACACCAAAATTGATAAGCAACAGCCCACTGTTCATGGGCTGTTCCTTATCCCAGCATGCACTATAAGAGAGGCAGAGCACAGGATAAACACACACATACTGTAGAATTATATCACACATTTACAACTACAGTAAATGGGCCCTATGCAATACACAACCCGGTATCACGGCAAGACGTGAACATGTGACGATTTACCATGCTGGGACACGTGAAGATGTCACGATTTCGTCCCTTCAAACGTGACAGTTACATGGTATTGTTAACATGGCCCAGCCAGTGGAGAAATACCCGGAAATGCCAAGCAAATCCTCTACCCCGACGGTCGGTTGTTATTAATATAATAATAATTTATTTTGTAATAGTCACACTCGATTTCGCCGATTTTCTTGTTGCCCAAGCTGGTCGACATCTCTTTTAGCAGAAACAAAGGCTACATTAATGTATTAAATCGATGTTAATCCATGTGTGTCGTTGTAAAATTAACGGCTTGCGTTCATGTTAATTTACAAACTCTTCAACTAGAACCGTAGTTATATTTAAAAACATTGTAGAAGGCCTCAAAAAATTCTTTAATGTAATTTCAAATTTAAATGTGAAGGAATGTGTGTGTATAACAAAATACATCAGTCATAAACAATACCGGAAACAGACGTAGGCAAGATCCTCAGCTCGGTGATTGGATGGTTTAGCCGCAATGCACGTTGGGATATGGTGTTTATGCGATGTGAAATCCGAAAACATAAAAAAAAAATGTAATAATACTTTATTCCGAGTGTGCTTGCTTTTCTCTTTGAAAGTCATCACATAACGGCATTGTAATACACGGTTCGGCTGCATTAAATATTACATATCTGCCGTAGTTCTCTATTTATAGAGCCCTGATAACAAGACTTCTAGACAAAACTGCCGCCAAAACTGAAAACGTGACGTGGATCATAAATATATCAGCAATTAAACAACATCTTACATTTCTTTTCACACAATACGTCTCCTTGCAGTATCAACACTAATTCGGCTGACTTTTATATTTGATCCAATTGGTAGATAGGCTGTATTTACACCATAACGGTGCACAGCTGATAGATAGGGACACCTAGTGGTTAAAGCACATTATTGAATTTTATTATTTTTATTATTAGACTGTATATAATGACTATTTTGCACATCCCTTTCAAGATTTCAAGATTTTCTAAGGTTTATTGACATATCATATTATACACAACTACGGTGTAGTTATGCAATGAATGAAAAACTTGGGTCGCAGGTTCCTCAACAGTGCATTATCAATATGTGTGTACCTCCACCATTACATTGTCATATTCTGCACATTTCTTATTCTATCTACATACATCTTATAAGAGTATAACACATATGTATAATATCAGTTAAAATAAGTGCTTCAACATAGTTAACATTGCAGGAAAGCAATATATTAGACGTTAAGTACTTTGTCAGGCTTAATATGTATCTGTAGATACCCCCAAAGCTTTTTTCTTATTCAAAAGAAGACCTTAACCTAAAGTATTCTTTAATGTTTAAATAAAGCCTTATTAGTTTGTCTATTTTGCACATCCTGCTATTAGTATCTAATAATAAAAATAATAAAATGCAATAACGTGCTTTAACCACTAGGTGTCCCTTTCTATCAGCTGTGCACCGTTATGGTGTAAATACAGCCTATCTACCAATTGGATCAAATATAAAAGTCAGCCGAATTAGTGTTGATACTGCAAGGAGACGTATTGTGTGAAAAGAAATCTAAGATGTTGTTTAATTGCTTATATATTTAAGATCCACGTCACGTTTTCAGTTTTGGCAGCAGTTCTTCCTGTTTGTCTAGAAGTCTTCTCATCAGGGCTCTATAAATACAGAACTACGGCAGATATGTAATATTTAATGCAGCCGAACCGTGTATTACAATGCCGTTATGTGATGACTTTCAAAGAGAAAAGCAATCACACTCGGAATAAAGTATTATTATTTTTTAAATGTCATGAACGCAAGCTGTTTCCTGGCAACGCAATCGCACAACGTCACGTCCGTTAATTTTACAACGACACACATGGATTAACATCAATTTAATACATTAATGTAGCCTTTGTTTCTGCTAAAAGAGGTGTCGACCAGCTGGGGCAACAAGAAAATCGGCGAAATCAAGTGTGACTATTAAAAAATAAATCATTATTATATTAATATTGACAATAACAACCGACCGTCGGGGTAGAGGATTTGCTTGGCATTTCCGGGTATTTCTCCACTGGCTGGGCCATGTTAACAATACTGTGTAACTGTCACGTTTGAAAGGACGAAATCGTGACATCTTCACGTCTCCCTGTGATACCGGGTTGGCAATACACCATGAAATATTGTGTGTTTTTATGCACAACTTCGTAATACATACATTTTGCTCAAATAAGACAACATCATTTTGTAAAATGATAAAAAATACTGTCGCTAAATCGCAGTAGGATGCCATCAAAAGTCATTTATTTGAACTGTTTGGAGGAAACCCACTCAGACTAAAAGAGAACATAGAAACGTAATAAAGAAAAGCCTCAATATGGTCAAACATCATCCACTACAATACTGTAGCAACAAAGCTAACCACAGGCTGTCCCCAACACAATTCCCTTTGCACTAAATTGACTGTCAGATCCAGATCACAGTTGAAGAGGTTATCCTCTGCAACTCAGACAGAAGCCTTCTGTCTCTGTCCAAAACCTTTTAAATACTTCTCCCCATAAGAAGAGCTCCTGTTTAATCCATGTGAGTACTTTAAAAGAATGCTGCTTTAAGTAACAGTTAAGTATGCATGAAAGTGTCTGCTGAAACTACCATCCCTCGGGCTCCAACAGACTGCCGCCAAAAAAGCCCGCCTTGGGCTTACTGCATTTACCCCTAGGCTAGACCTGGATGTCCTTTCAAGAATGGAAGTAGTTGGAGAAGCAAATGTCCTTTCTGCCTTTTTCCACCTCTCAAACTCACATCTGTCAAAGCAATTGTAGTTTAAAAGGACAGTGTGCACATTCAAATCTATGGATGAAAAAAATATTATATTAAAAGTATAAGATCTAAAAATATGTTAATGTTCAATAAAATATACCGGACCTATATGATAAATATTACCTAGTGATATGATGTATACCTTGACACTGTACACTAAACATTTTACATGAGTAAACAGTTAATATTATGATTATAAGTCTATAGAATATTGAATAGCTGTGAAAATAATCCATAAAAACTTCTCAGAGCACAACGTGGCATCTTCAAATTGCTGCCCAAACATATTACATTTAAAATGATATAAAGCAGCTTGATAAATTATGTGAATAAATCTCCAGTGAATCAACAAATCGATAAATTTAGCACTGCTTATCCATGACAATCCTCGTCCATAACTCTTGTTGCACTCAACATCACCGCTTCTACTCAAGTCTGAAGTTCCAATAAGAGTGAAAGCATTTAGTGGTTTTACACCCCGGCTAAATATTTCATCAGAAGTCGAATGTTTCACCACTCACTGTCACTTCAGTTTGTCCTTGTGGAAGATGACTGGTGAGGCAGAGCTCTGCCAGGATAGCTATCGCTCACTGTCAGCCATGTCGGCCTGTCACTATCCTGCACTGCCAATTGCCTCAGCAGTCCTGTAGCAGACATGACGTGTATGTCGCGGCGTGGTGCGATGTGACCCAACGCGTTGTGACATCCCACAATTAGATGTGTCTTATGACCCATCAAGGAGCCTGTGGAAATGGTGTTAATTTCAGTGAGGTCGTCATTGCTAAGTTGCAGACAGGATGTGTTAGTTTGCTGATACATCTGGAAACAGGAGACAGTTCTGCTTCTCCAGATGATTGCTTTCTTATTTTGTGCGCTTCTTTTCATTACACAGAGCAGAAGTGTCTGCGAGTGTCTTCTCTGGAAGCGCACTTCTAAACATAGAAAACTATCAGCAGCATAATTCACTGCCTTAGTGGTAAAGATGACACGTTTGACAAGACTTCACACGTCATGACCGAACAACATAAAGCCAGGTGTCTTCCAGAGGAGTGTAATGACAGCTGAGAGAGACACAAAGTAGAAGCTAAACATGCATATTATGTAAATGTTCTATTCCAGCACCACTGCAAAGCAGCACAAGTAGTGAGGGCAGGCAAAGTCTTTGAAAATCCTTCCCATCATGCAAACTGACAAAGGCTTGCTCTTCAAAACCCTCAGCCAATCTGTTGATCATTACTTATTTACAAAGGCCTTGAGACCGCAGGTCCTGTAAAAACATATTTGATATAGTATACACCCAGATGTTTTTTTCTCGGCTTGTTGCAGTGAAGTCACCCTAAGGCTACCGCAGTGAATCCCTCTCCAGCGCGCAGGCAGCAGACGCGCTGGATAAAATAACACATCCACCTGTGCTGAGCGGCGTATTTGCATGGCAAGTAGATGGATTGGTTTTGGTGGGCTGATATTTTGCTGATGGCTATTGCTTTAGAAAAGCCTAGTTTTGTTACCCAAGAGACTGGAAATCACCTGGAGCAAATCAACTTTGACACAACTTTGAACCAAATCAAACAATCAAACAATGGCAAACGCCCACCAGAAGAAACAGAGGCCATAGATCAAAGGAAAATGCTAAATAGTGCAGAAAACACTTTTTTATATATAATACAACCTCAATTATATATAATAATAACACATACATGTGTGGATTTATTTCTGAATGTTAAATGAATAGCAGCTATATTAGCAATGGGAGCATAAAGTCATCTGTCAGTTTGAATTCAATTTCATCTCTATTATTCCACTTTGTATACGTCAGGCTGCAAGACTTCCCTGGTGCCTTGCTTCCTTGTAACATGGCACTTAATGACAATGACTATTACTATTATCATCCCTGTAATGGCTTCTTGTTGAATAACAGCGTAATCTCCAGTCAAAATCAATAAGCTCCAATTTAATTTTACGGGACAAGATAAAAGCAAGGTAGCATTTGAATTCTCCTTTCATTGTGATGATACATATCATCTGTGGCCTAACGTGCTGAGGAGAGCTCAGAGGGATCCAACAATAGATGAATAGCCCCGGGCTATCTATCCTTTAGAGCCCTGCCGCTGTCATTAGTGCCAGGCCGGTTTAAGAGCTGCAGACTGTGGGTGTCACTTGGAAACCTCGCAGCATAGAGCAAGTCTTACATGTTAGCAATAAAACGGGCACACAACCATTTCCATTATACACCGCAACTACTGATATTAAAAATATGTCTGCAGGTATTTGTTTCTTACAATAATAAATGTTTCTGATTACGCTTAAAACTGCAATTGTAGGAATTGTATTTTCCTCTTAACAACAAATCAAATAACACTTATCACCTCAACCTCTCTTCAGCTTTAAGAAGCATTTTAGCATCTTTGCATTGCAACCTCACATTTTGGTTCACTCACACCGCTCTCAACCTTGTTTTCAGCCACAGCAGCCACACAGTCTTATAAACCAACTGTACGATATATACCTGCACAGCAACAGCAGACAGCGATTAGCTCGTAACATGGTGGAGTGTTTACCAGCTTAAGAGCCAGCTGTTATTCACAGTAGTTGGTGGCAACAAAAAACAGGCTAAAAAGAAAATATATTTGGACTAACATTGTTAGTGTTTGGTGAAGGTACATATAAGCAGCTGTTCAACAATTTTGCCAAAACAACTTGGTGATAGTTATTCAGTGTTGTGTACATTTGGTTATTAAATTATACAAAATAAATACACTCAACAGTACATCTTCCAATAAAACAATTAACAAAACCAGAAATGGCAGAAATGTCCTACCTCATTATCTTAGGTGAGGAGTTTGGAGAATTTCTCATGCCTCCATTACGTTGCTTTTTCTTCGGCGATAACGCCAACTGTTGGTCCTCTTCGACTGCAATAAAAAGACAGTATTAGAAGCAAATTATCAGAAGTAGGAATCAGAATGAATCAAAAATCAGTGACAGCTAAAAATAACAAGACGGCACAATTGGAGGTCAGTGAATTCAAAGAGATTATAGGGTTACAGAGACATGGAGTGGACAGAGGTTGGGTGAAGACGATGGAGTGGACAGTACACTTTAACTTGAATGCAACAGTCCAATGTGTGCATGATGAGGGCAGCAGACATTAGCACATTGCATGAATGTGTATGGAGATGCAAACATGCAATAGTGCCATCATCAACCATCATGCCGGCTGCTAAAGTCTAATCTGTGACGTTTTATTCACCACACACACTAATCCAGAGAAAATCTGTAAACCAGATAATGAAGTTCCACAAATACCTCAAAGGGTATTAGGATACTTTCATTTTTCAATCCCTTGTTAGTACAAATTTCCTCAGGCATAGACTTGGTTAGATCCTCCTCATACTAATCATTCACATTCTCATTTAATTAAGATAATAACCTATAAACATCATGCGCCCAGCTTTATAAATAAGGCTCGTTTTGTGCCAATACTCAATCCAGTCTGGATTGCTGGTCTTCATCTTGGGAGTGACACCCTGGGCTCATATAATCATGTTGGTCCTCGTGCCAGAGTGATTTATGTACAGCTGAGGGGCCCCTTGGACATTGTCTTTATCACTACAGGAAACTGCACTGAGCCCTTCATAGGGAACAAATTACAAGTTTTACCCTCGAGTAAAGTAATCAGGCAAATATTTTCACAAGCTAATATCACAGCTGAAGAAAACAACCCCTCTCTCTGGCAGTCGCTGGTAAAATAAACACAAGCAGCGAGAAGTGTTTTCGCTAATCGCATTTTAACAGCCATCGTTAATAGTGGGAATAGCTTGTTACACGTCATGGAAAACACGCTTGAGTATTTTTTAATGATAGTTCAAGCTGTCAAGGACGAAGAAAAACCAGACTGGCTTTCGTCAAAAGGAGTAAAGTCCCAGCAATCATGCTCTTCTGCAGATGAACGCATGATTTCCAGCGCGGCTAGCATTTCTAAGAGCAACATTATAATGGAAAATGATGAGTTATAGGGGGGGGGGGGCTTCCAGTAGAGAGGGATGCTCCAACACACTGGCCCTTCACATCTCTTCTTGGCCTGTTCAATATTTAATGTTTCACAGCTGACAGCTGCACACACTGGGTCATTAGTAAGGAATGCTACACATGCAACCACTCCAGCCTGGCAAGCACATGCTTCGGTGCTGTTGTTGAGTACAGGCCTGCCAAACACGCCGAGGGGAGGGTGGGCCTTACAGTGCCTGCGACTGAGCGTGCCGTTATTGGAGTGACTGGGGTGGTATCTGTATTTCACCGGAAGGCTACGTGCCCTCGGTAGCCGGCTCAGGTCCCCAGAGCCTGTGATGCCCAGTCTCAGAGCGGGGGGCTTGGCGGGGGGCAGCAGGCTTCCCTTGCGGTTGTTTACCAACGGGACGGAAACAACAGCGACTCCGCTACGGGGCCCCCTACAGACCACGCTGGCTGAGCTGTGGTTCAGTTTAGCGGAGTTGTATTGATAATCTGCCGACAGGATTAGGGGACCGTTGTTAACTGAAGAGGAGGCACAATCAGGATCTGTACAATGCAGATACATTGATTCTCTGCTTTTTTTAAAGGGCAGTTAACCCAAAACATTTTTCTCCCTGACCTCTAGTGCTATATTGCTATGTCGATGGCATTCATTCTATGAGCCAAGGCTTTGAGTTTGTGTTCTGAGACTCGTGCATCAATCCTTATAACATGGAGGTAAATCAATTAAATTTGTAGCACAACATTGAAACAAAATATTAGAATGAAGCTAAGGCCTTACGCTCAATAGCTTTCATTGGAAAGACTTCCTGCTGAAGAACTAGTCACAGCACATTATGTAAATTGTTCCAGAGTAAGACATGTTCATTCTTCTGAAATCCTTTTTTAATGTTGTGAGCACTACAAATACATTTCACCTCCGTTGTGTTAGGTGGAGGCATTCATCCTACGGACAGATATTTCAAAACACAGATGCATAAAGTTGAATATAATCTGCATGAGTAGATACCACAAGCGGAAGGTCATAAAGCCTTGCTTTGTGTGAACCAACACTTTAACTCCTCGCATTACCCTCAAGATAGGATTTGATTTAAACTGCCTTGAGTAAGACCTGCAGTGTGCATGTTAATAAAACATCTTTTGACTCTTATCATAATTAAAGCACAATCACTGGTTTTCGGGGGTAATTCTTTCTGGCATAAGAATGCTAATAGCTGAATAATTAAAAAAGCTCATTTTTATTAAACACCACTTAACCACTTGGTCTAGCCACCAATGAAATGTTGGACTTGACATTTACTTTGATATTTATAATAAACATGAATTAATAAACAGGCTTTTTAGGTGTTCCAGCTATTGTTATGCCATAAGAACAAGGAGGTGACAATGTGAATCAACTACCACTGGCTGCTGTGTTTATGCCGGATGAGGGACAAATGAATTCAGTATCCACTCAGCTAATTGAAATGTGGTCGCTTACTACTCCACTGGTGTTATAGTGAGGGTAAAAGTGGTAAAGATGGCATGATAATAAAGGAATAAAAAGGAAATCGAAGAAAATTGTACCACAAAAAATGTCTAGGAGCTCAAATGGGAGAATAGAGATGATTATTTCAACAGTCAGCTGTCGGGCAGATTATCCTCCCTGCTCCAGACCTCCACTTTTCATCTGCCCCATGTCAAACATGCCTAACACTTCCCCAGGACAACGCACTGTGGCAGATTTGCACTAGATCACTGATCATGTTGAAGTGGATGGCCCACATGGCCACACTCTACTAGCTAAGAGAAATATTAAACTCTTAAGTGTCGTCATATTCATCCTGTCTATTTTATAACATGGATCTACATTATAAATCCTTGCACACATTTGCTCTAAATGTTGTATTTCCATCTGATTGATCCATCCCCACGCACAGTGAAGCAGTAGCACCATCTACTGCTGAGCTGTAACTGATACCCAACACAAACCAATCAAATATTTTCCTGATGCTTTGCATATAAAACGAAATGATGGATGATGACAGACTGCAGAGTGATGAGCAGCAAACAGTGAAAAACAGCCGGTTAGAGACAGTTAAAGTGATGATAGCTGAGACAGCACACGTGGAAGGATTAAAGAAAACAAATGACAAAATAGAGAATGAAAATCAAAACTTACTTGACTTGATATATCCATTATAGCTATTTTTAGCTGAGAAAAATGCAGAGACAGAGATGAAAGGTTAGAGGGAAGATCAGGTTGTAATGAAAGCAAATTATAAATGACAACAGAAGGCTGCAGATTTCTCTTTAAGGCACATTTAAAACAGTGTGGTGCCTTGAAGACAACACGGACAAAGCAATGATAAAAAAAACACGGGTCAGTTAGGAACATGACTCTTCATCAATGTGGTCATTGAGCTGGAACAGTGGATCATTTTCAGTGTTTCAGTGTACCTACGGAGCATTTGAGGCAGCACAGTTAGTGTTTTTTTAAACAAAGTTAAGGCTATCTGCTATATTGTGTTAATTAATATAGTATTGAAATTAGTCATAGTTGCATTCAAAGCCAAGAAAAAGTCTATCACCACAATTTTCGAAGCTGAAAAGATGTCTGGTTCTTAAACTTAAAACAATTAATCAATTATCAAAATAATTGCAGATTATGTTGGTTGATATCAATGAATTATCTTTCTGCTCAAGATTACACATTACACTTGTTTTAGCAGCATTAAATTAATATATTTCAAACTAATGCACGTCCATGGTACAGCTCATATAATAATAGATTTTAACTGGGAAAATAAATGTAGCTTTTATTTTACTTGGATGTGTAGATGTCTTTAGGGTTAGGAAATTCCCCTGTGCTTACATTTAAATAACATTTAGTCGGGAGGTTCCTAAAATATGTCACATTACTATAATGTTCTCTTGTTTGGAAGTCTATATTACTTGTTTATGTTTCCTTTTCTTGCCCAAAAGCTGTTTCCCGTTCCTCTGCCCTGCCTGACACAACCTGCACTGGTGCACGGAGGTTTGTGTGAGTCACTTTTTTGGAGCCGTGAGTCCCACACATTCTCATTAGTACCTTATTTCAACCCCTTGCTTACAATAAAGGTCATGCATTGAGCTTAAGGCAGGACAGTGACATCAATGTTCAAACAGGGACCTTGCTGGTCCTGGCATCTGTCGCCTGCAATCGGAGGGCGCGAGCAGAGTCACAGGACTAACAGGCTAGCATCTGTCCCACAACGAGAGAGGAGGAGAGGAGCGGGGGCACTCGGCTGCCTGGTGGTTAGGAACTGTCAGGCTGAGTTTCATGACAACCGGTAGCACTCCAAAAATGAAAATGCAAACATAATTTCCATGTCAGGCTGCATAAGGCCTCTCTCCACGCGGCTCTCGCTCCGTGTCGACAGCGACTCGGGAGCTCGGCTGGAGCTCAGCTAGCCAGGCGATGCTCACAGCACATACCCCTGGAAGACATGTTGGGGGGGGGGGGGGGGGGGGAACGCCCTGAGACGTTCAACCACAACAGAATGGTCTTTGATCTAGAGATAATCACTAAAACTGTATGACAGTCTGCAATGTTTTCCAGCAAATTGTATCAACGCTCTGCAAACTGGAACATATTCTTCATGCCTTCTGCGATATATCAGAACAATTTAACATGCCCGCAGGGAATCACACTTAAGAATTTATATGCTGCTCAACTCAGTTTGTTTCTCTGAGATCATATGATCCAGCACTATTATATTGCCTGTTATTCCTCCTGCAGTCCAATACAAAACAGATCTTTTCTATTGCATATCCCATTTTGTAAAATTCAATAAATATCTTGAAAATTCAACGCCTTTAAAGCTCACAACTACAATCTCTTCTTTGCTGGCAATGAACGTGGGCCTGGTTTGAGAACTGAATATATTTAAGAAATTTCACCCTCAGTGGTTGTTGAAGCTTTTGATCTTAATTTAATAAAACCAGTACATTAACCTCAATATGTACTGCTACCCTCAGAACATCCCCTCGGGCGCTCTTAAGCCTGCCTCTTCATTTTTAAATGAATTGTCAGTGGCGTTTATAATAAATATCTAAAATCCTATCCTGTCCGCCCATTCCTGGAGGGTACAGTAGGGAAATATTTGGTATGAATAAAATGTTATTTGGGTTATTCTAAAATAATTAGTTACCCTCTCCAGTGACATCATTATAGCTCTCGTGCACTCCTATTAAAACAAATAATCTGAAGAAATGCATTTGAATTCTTCAACAGGGTTCCCAAGAGATTTGTGGCGGGAATGCAAAGCGCAATGTCTTCTCAATAGGTTTGCGGGGTCACTGGAGGAGAAGCATATTATCTTTCAGAAGCTCATTTTTTTCACACTGGAAAAATTCACTATGACTGAGGTGATTTAAACTATAAGTCAATTTGAATCCACATTCTCTGACAAAACAACAGCAACACAGTACACTGGCATGCTTCACAACAGCTAAAAGTCACTTCGAAAGGGAGCAACACAGGGGGAGGAACACGAACTGACTGAAATCATAAAGACTCATAAGCAACATCTTTATCCATGACAGTGACGACGAAGCTGCTAGAGCTAGACAGCACACAAGCTAAAGACACATTGCACGGATAACACAGTGCATGTTACAGACACTGAAGAGCACATGTCATGGCGACAACTTACAGGCACGTAAAGTGGCTGAGCAATCATTAACAGAGACAGCAGAGAGTGGGATGTCGCGTCGAGGGGAGTCCATGTTACAACGCACATTAACTGGCATGCAAGAGCAGTCCCGCTCTGAGCGGCTGCAATCAAAACAACATGCCAGTCTGATTTTCTTGTAGGCGGCCGTCTTGGCTACAGTCACGGGTTCAGACGAGAGGAGAGGAAGAGCAGGTTAATGTAGAGGGTCGTTCTGGAGGAAGAGTGGACAAAGGCAAGACAGGACACAGAGGAAGGCTGCTGCTGGGATGCACAGGGTCGTAACAGCGTGCAAATGTCACAATTTGAATTTGGTTTATTCGATTTTGGGGGATTTCTAGGATTAGTTGGGGAAATAATGAAATCTTAAAATCATGTGGTTTAGGGGGAAAAAGTGACATGGGGGAAGGGGAGGTCATGACTTCTTTTTTAGGAACAGAAGAGACAAGAACTTCTATGAGTTCCATCTTGTTGACACACCTTAAATAATTGTAATGCTTTCTTTTTCAAACTGAGAAGTTAAACAGACATTTCTCTAACAAAAGGTCAAAGTAAATGTGACATTGTTTCTGGAATTAGAAATCCAGAAAGAATAAAAACAAATACAAGGTCCAACACTTGTTTGACAAGACCATGATCCGTTTGACATTCTCAAGTTGCACATACCCCATGACGTTGTTTTTTGTCCCAAAACTATGCTAGGACAGACTGTGCAACCACCTCAGTGAATGACACTGTTTTTGGGGTATGTTTCAGATAATACAATGGTTGTATCACTACAGTAAATGGTTCTCTTTTCCCATGCTGGTGATTTTTTAGCTCTGCTCTTCTTGCAGGGAAGTTGCATTGTTCAAAGGACTGTGGGGACATCTGGTGGTAAGAAGGAGTATTTATATCTTAAACAGGCATGACATCATCTGTCATGCTTTGTTTAGGGATGCTAAACTAAATACATTAGTATTTTAGGTATTGCATAGTCAGCTGGGTCTTTCAATAAAATTATTATAATATTTTTATCTATAAGTATATTTTTTAGTTTTTGAAAATTTGTATTTGTTTTTTTTATGTTTTCCTCGATTTGAATGTGACGTGCACATGTCAATAGGCAGAGGGATCCAGGCAGCATCAACCATTTTACATGCAACATTTACAGTACACTCAAACATATTGCTTCAGTCGGGGTAGCAGGCTGTGTTTTCGGAGGGGAAATAAATCCACACTACTCACAATATATCACTATAAAGTGAATTTTTAAGGAAAGTGTCAAGTTCCCAAGCAGCAGGAAGAAAATACAGCACATGTTAAGATTAGGTGTAAGTGGTAGCTGTGCTAAATCCAAGAGAGAGCGCAACAAAACGTTTCAAGACACACAATCCATCCAGGTACCTGTGGTGTTAACAGTCTCTCTGAATGCCTGTTAACATCACTAAGTTATCAATGAACTGGAACAGCTATTATGCAGAAGAAAACATAGCATACACCTACACATGCAAACAGACAAAATGCATATTAAGACTGTTTTCACGGGTGGTTTGAGAGAAGTAAACTAGCTTGTTTCTTACTTTTCTGTGTATCTATGAGAGGTGGGAATCATAAGGAAGAGAATATGCTAAAAAGATTAATCATCAACCAGAGACACGAAAAATAAATACTTGACTGATCAGTTCACCAAAATCGCACAGGATAAATCACAAACCTGACTACATTATTACTTGTGGAAAGCTGTGTTTTCTAATTATGCTGAACTGACTTATTAATGACAGCAAATGTTAATGTTATATAGAGGTCCAAAAGTGCAGCATTACAAGGGAGACTTGGACTGCACCTGTGTGTTTTGGCTGCAGAAAGAAATCCAATTACCTTTGTTCATGCACAAGTAACAGGACGTTAATAATTAATGCAGGAACTAATTGGTTTGGACACATGGCTATGTAGGTCATGTAAATACATCATCACACTGCTAGATTGATGCTAACTCAGTGCTGTGAAGAAATGTTACTGAAGTTAAACAATACAATGTTTTTTTTAATGCAGTCACTTACATTTCTTGCATCCACATTTCTTTATCCTTTTGGGATCACTTATGTCATCGTGGCAGGCTTTGCAGTAAAACAGGGCCCTGTGGAAGAAAAATAGAAGTCCCATATTAAAATGGTAGCAGATAACAAAACATCTGTGATCCCTGGTTTTCTAAAATAAGTCTCGAAAGTGTTTTAGGCATGAGTTGGAATGTGTTTAAAGTAAAACGTATTAAGTTATGTAGTAAGTTGCAAGCACTGGTAGCATGTGGTCCAACCCACCAGACTAACCAAACAAACCTCCCCTGCTACTTGATTCTCGCAAGCAATAAATCCTATACTTGTTGCAAAAATCATTAGCTAACAAAAAGCTAGCAACATGTCAAGCTTATAGTCATATTGTACGAACTGGTAAAATGCAAACAACCCCACCAACAACTTGCTAGCTAACAACAACCAGCTATCAACATGTTAAGCTAAGTAGCATATTGTAAGGTTTACAACACTGTGTAGTTTTACTTTTAGACTCTGTATCTCAGGTCCAATGTATTACCTCTTTACTTCTTTGGCATCACTGGCAATGAAGAAGCCCAATGTCCCCTCCTGCATTTTCACGTGGTTTCCAGGGTTTATCAGGGTGCTGCAAGGATTTATAGACCAAAGTTGTCACAACAGAAAGTTAAGATCACAGAATTGACTGAGCAGTGACACACGCTGGCAGGATCCATTTCCCCCGCTCATTTGGCACGATAGCTTCTTTATTAAACTAAGTTGATGAAAGCAGATAGCAGTGACACCTAAAAGAGTGGAACATTTGCAGTATAAAAACCACTAAACACAATAAAAGCTTCAGCTGTGTTTAAAGAAACCAACTGCCACCTTCCTCATGAATTTGTCAGGATGTTATCAAAATGCCTCTGATGTCTGTGAACAAACTAATTTAGACACCAATTTAGCACATTTTGTAAAGCGGCTTGTGTTTGCAGTCAAACAGAGGAGCTGATTCAAAGTAGCTTCATCACTGAAGGTAAATGCCGACAGCAAACACACCTGCGTGTTGAGGTTTTTGCATCCATGAATTTTAATGACTTTAACCAAACACTGTGAACACATCCACTTACCTGCACTCCCTTTGATCAGACTTGTACTCTATAGCTATCAGTAGCAGCTTTAGCTTCACATAGCAGAGTCTGCAAAAGAGAATAACAATATAATTAGACTTAACGCACGGTAAATATTTGTAGTTTTGCAAAAAATCGTCTTAGCATTTAGTGCCACCTTTTTCTACTTAAGAGGTCTGATTTATTAAAGCTAAAATGTACAAATGCAGGTGTTTATCATAATGAAAATATGGCCATTCATGGATTTTAAGAGAAATTGCTCATACACATATGGAAGCCACAGAGTGCCAATCGCAAAACATAATAGGTAACATAGAGGGAATCAGAAGAAAAGGCCACAAAGCATTTCAAATCTTTGTTTCTGTGTACTTACTCGCAAATGACAGGGAAGGACATGCCAACGAAGGCACTCGACAGGTACTCGGTGTACATCTCATTGGCCACTCCTTCTAGGTAATACTTCTGCCATGTGTCCTCCTCAATCTATAACAAAGATTTAACACAAAATACAAACAGCTTTGTACCATTACGATGTTTTATTTAATTAAAACATTTATTTATATGTTTGTACACGTTCCTCCCCACCCAGTCACCAGATGTAGAACATGAGCCTCATCTGGGACAATCATTATTATATATTTCTACTACAACTTTTTCATGGCCAACTTTACGTCTGAACTCAATCCAGTGATCACAGATGGCTGAATATTAGCTGTGGCTACCTTGATGAAGGACCTCATGGAGAAGAGGTTGGCCAGCATGGTGGAGAGGCCCTGAGCCAGGCAGCTCTGAGCGATGAAGCCCAGCTTCAGCTCCGCAAGGCAGATAGCATCGTCTCCCTCCTTCCAGTTCCAGCTCGGGATGTTCAAAAGGTGGGCCTGAACACAGAAAAATGTATACACTTGTTCCAAAATGTAAAATGTAGGCGGACAAAAGGTTAAACAATAAAAATATCCAAAATATATAACAACCAAACATGATAACGTATGAATATAACATAAGCAAAAGCAACAGATTTTACCAACCTTATTGTGGTACTGCAACATTTGAGTGATTATTCTGATCTTTGGATGGTAGTTCTTGATAGATATTACTCTGATGCATGACAGAAATGACAAAACAAAATCAGAACATTTCAAAACAGTTTTCCTAACTTCCTGGCATGTGGTATCATTCTTAAACATAACAACCTCCTACAAATTAAAAAAACAATTTTTTATCATTTATATTATTAACTAAATCCAGAGCTGGCAATCATTTATGCCTATAGATTTAAAACTGTTCGAGTCAAAGAAAATAAAATTTCTGTAACAGATTCATATTTTCTCTCTTTAGGCTTTATCATTGAACATGTTTACTTATACATTTCTGATTGAATTGTTCTCCTTAAACCCAATAAAATAACTTAATCACAGGGTTTACCTCATGATGTTGGATGCATCCTCAGCATCGGGGTCAGCACAGTATTTGTTGGCTAAGATTAAACAGGCATCAGCTGATTCGATCTGGAATAAAGATCACACACAGCAAACACACATCAGTAAGTATAACCTTTAAAGACAGCACAGTTTCCCTCTGAGCCACAGAGGACAAAGTATGATCTGTCACTTACCTTAACTCTGGCCAGGTCGTGTGGGTTCAGAACAGATCCTTGGTAAAACTCCACTTGAGTGAAATGACGCTTGAACAAGGCTTCCAGCTCAAGATTAGGGGAAATACTGAGAGATAAAAAATAAACACTCTTAAATCTGAAGAGGAATATCATTTCCTATCTCCAGAAGATTTTTTTTCATGAGGAAGGAAATGTTCTGTTTTTTACTTACTTATGAAGAAAAACAATTTCTACATTGACATCATCCCTGTCCTTGTGTAGGAAGTCTTTTAGAAAGTTGGACACACTCTCAAGTGTTATATGACCACAGACCACGATGTGCCTGGAAAATGAGTGGCAGAATCATAATGAAACTAAAATGTAGTCAGAATAACATTTAACAAACAAACACGCACAGGCACACACACACATTGATGTTTCATCTTCATCTGTGTCCTGGAATCAAAAGGTAAATCTGAGATGAGAGAGATGTAATGGAAAAATAATCACTACCGTTTGTATTTAGGTGATTGAATTGAAATAATAAAAACTATGTTACAGGAAGGATGTTTCATGTTCCTGTCGTGACGAGAGAGGGCTGAATGAGAAGGTCAGAGAGCACTGTGGATTTCAGTATGAGATTATAAAGGATCAGAGTTTACTTAGATGGAGATTATAAAATCAGCACACAGTTTATCTCAATTCCCACATTATCACAGATCCTTTATGCAAGGAACCCAGTTTATGTTTATTACTTTATGTATAGTAACACATGTCTGACTATATATTGTTACTAAGAACATTATTTCAGATTTGTGTGATAAACATTTCATCTTGCTTTACTGCATTGAAGTTTTTTGGCTTCAATGTACAATAAATACATATTTTCACCAGTTGTTTGGCTAATTTGTAAAGGAAAATTGATGAGTACACATTGAGTATTGATGCTGATGACATCAAGTAGACATGATGGAGGAGAGGGAAATAGAAAAATAATGATGCATTAATATAGAAATCTAAGGAGCTACAATCAAAACAGAGCGATAAAAACTACATCTCCAGACTTTCAAAATGTTGCAAAACTTTAGATCTTCGCTACTATGTAAGCTGATAAAATAATGAGTCTACTGTCAGACAGATATTCGAGTGAGTAATTCTCACCAAACACAAACAAACTAATCGTTTCAAATCTACTAGTATGTTGTAACTTCGTTGAAACATTTTCAATTCACCAATAATAAAAAAAAGTAGACAAAATAACAAATACAAAATTGTACACGATACACAAGAAAAAAACGATTTTTCTATTTATTTTTTTAACAAAAGAAGCAAGGATTTGGTTTAAGAGAGTTTCCCAAACCAAGTCTGACTTCTTCCAAACTAAGTGAACAACCACAAAAGCATGCTACAACAAGCAGTTGTTTGTTTGGAGGCATCAAGCAGAATCTCACTATCTTTAGAAACAGCGGCAGATCTTTGGACACTAACGTGTATTATGTGTTAAAGGAATAGTAAGACTTTTTGGGAAATTCACTTTTTCTTTGCCAAGTTGGATAAGATGATAGATGCTACTTTCACATCTGTGCTAAGCTAAACTAAGCTAGCTTATATTAGTCTAGCAGGGGAAAACAGATATTCTGGTTCACATACCAGCATCTTTGAATCTCATAAATCAACACATTGTATGTTATTTTAAACTTTAAACAAAAATACATGTAAAAATGACAAAGTTGTATTTAAATGGTGATTTACTTGCTAAGCTAAGCTAATGGCTTCCTGGCTCTAGTTAACTGGTTATTCTACAGACATGACAGTTGTATCGATCTTATCACCCTACTTTCAGCAAGAACGTTAAAAAGTGTGTTCACCAAAATGTCAACTATTACTATAAACTCAAGATAAATGTTATTTAGTCCTGCGGGTGTAGGTCAGACTGAAGATAAAGGCCAAGAATGTTCAGAAGCAAAGCATGACAAAAAACAAGCATAGCAGCACAAATGTTTCCAAGACAGAAAAACAAAATTCCAGAGATCGGCATGAAGCAAGCGATGGAATACAGGACTCTATGATTTTGAATCACTTCATTAGAAAATAATGAAATTCAACATCATAAATGTGTTATTGTGGCTTCATCAATCTCAATAACTTTGTTTAAAAATAGCGTTTTTTCATAAATTCACCACATTTAAGTTTAATTTCTTAAAAAGAAAAATCCCTAATTACAGTACTTCTAAATTCACTAAAGTGTACTAGGGTAAGGTATTAATTTTGCTAACTATTAATCCGTATGTTCCTTTGATGTGATGACTGCAAACACTTGACTTACAAACACAAATTTGGCACAAATGTACATTGACAATAAGCAGCATCATTACAAGTAGGACACCACAAATCATGTAGGATTTTCTCTTAAAATAAAAGGAAACAGGAATTGCGATACACCTGTGAACTGGTGTGATGGGGGTGATCACACCAGTCTATTTTGGTTCTGAAATAAAGTTGTTTTTCATGCACAGTAAAATATCACTCTGTTGATAATTATATTTTATATTTTTTGACTTTTAAACCAATGGCTGGTTAAAAGTTTAATCAGTGTCAAAAATGACTGCTCAAGTTATTGAAAAATATATGTAAAAATAATATATATAGTAAATATTTGTCCAACTGTAGCATAGATAATCACAATTATGGATTAGAGAGAAAACCCGACATGTGCCATCTTTAAACATGACAATAACAATATGTACATGATTACGCAGCAAAAATATCCATCCTTAAGTCATGATTGTCTCTTGAGGTCTCAAAAAAACGAAATTAATGTGTCTGGTGATAAAAAATTACTCAAATAAACGCCTAATCAGAGTTTAGTCTTTGAAATGCTTTTCCCTATATCAAACATTTTCTATTGATAATGTAACTTTTTTCGATGGTTCAAAATCAGGTCAAAAGTATCCAGTTTACCTTAAAAGAGAGCCTTTATAATTCAATAACAGACAAAAATAACTTGTTGGGATAGAGATTTTTTGCAGTGTAAAAGCAGACATTCGTCCATGACATACAGCAATGACAGCTTGGACACATAAAAGCAGCAGCAAAACAGTGAATTAAAGTCTACACATTAATCATGGCCAAGTTCTTCAGTCACAGTGTGACTTTAGTGCTAATTGAGATCATTACATCTCAAATGACAGTTTCATAATGTCTATGAGAGAGTCACTTTAGTCACACAACCACACCAATAAAAGTTAGCTGTTTTTTTCATTTGTTTGACTTACTTTCTGCCTCTGGTCGAGTTATAACTCCCTCCATATTTCTTCCGATTAAGGATGAGAGCAGCAATTTCTGGCACGTAGCGAGCAAACATGGCCTACATGCATGAAAAAGAAAAAGAAAAAGGCATGCAGAGAAGGTTCTACTGCGGCGGAGGCAGTAGAGCCTCCTTTAATACTTACTTTCTCCCATTAACCGCACTATAGGAACCACCATATTTCTTGCGGTTTCCTATTAACTCTATGATTTCAGGGACGTAGCTCGCAAACATGGCCTAAGGAGAAGATAGGAGACAGAAGAAGAGACTAAAAAAAAGATAGGCAAAGAAGGGCAGGTCCTCTATTTCTACTTTAAAAGAAATCTGTCTCAAAGAGGAACTCTACTGTGTGCAGGAGAAGTATTAGTATTTATCCAGAAAAAAGAAAAAAAAAAGCTCATTCAAATTGGCCGTCTGAATGAAGCCTTAAGTTCAATCAGTTACATTCCAAATGTCGAGAAAAGTATGAATGTGAAAAAGGAAATCATAAGGCCAATATTTACGGATATTGGCAGAATATAGGAGAAAAATGACAGCTGATGAGTGGTATGTCAATCTGCGATAGAAAAATAGAAAAAATTAAGAAAAAGCCTTATGTGCCATGTTTCGTCCAACAAACACTTGTCAGGTTGATTTGAAAAGCACAGCCCAATGGATGGCAGACATTAACTCTACAAAACTGCTCTGACTGTGGTTAAAAGGGAATCAAGTTCTATTTTGCAGATTTGACTAAGAGCTAAATAAACATGTTGAATCGTCATGCCTCTCTGTGTTTCTGAGCAAAAGGTTATCCTGTTTAGTTCATGTAGGCTCAAACCACAAGAAAATTAATCTACAGTCGTTTAACACTGAATATATTTTTTTACCGTTAGGTTTCTTAAAATTCCAAAAATGTTGTTATTCCAGACTTTCAGACAGTAACTAATATATTTCGTAAACATTTCTTCCAGCTCTTAATTTAAGATTCTGTGTAATTCAACACGAAGGTTAATATTATAATTAAAGCCTGCTGCACTGTTCAATAAGATTCAATATTATATAAATTCAACTTCTCCCTGCAAAATGTGATATCTTTTAAAGTTTTCCATTATTTAAAATATAATTCTGATGATTCGACCCATGTTTAGCTTTACACCATCATTTTGTTTGTACTGTCAGATGATGTCAATTGTGTCTTGCTCTATATGAGATTGACTTGAATCAGATATTTTACTGATTAAAAAGGTAACTTTGGCTTTCCATGGAAATATTAAACGTACAGTATCTCTCTTTTCACCTTATTAAAGTGTTTCATCATGCTTTTTAATCCCCCCGATTAAAACTTTATGATCCGGATAACTGGGTTTTCTAAAATATCTTCGGCTACAGGTACGGATTTTTTCTGTAACATTAAGGATTTAGTTCATCCTTTTACAAATCTTCACCTGATGCAATTTCTTGCCTATAATAGCTTTTAAATACGTGTTAGCATAATAAGCTAATGCTGCTATACATCCATCCAGCTAGGTCATGAGAAATCATCGCTGAAACAATGTGTTTGTTGGAAAGAGGGAGGGGGGGCAGGAGGGTGGAGCTACCTGAAACCGCAATACTTTTAAAGTTAATAACACATTCTTCAATATTACATGTCATATATGAATTAATAAACAACAGAATAGAACTCTTCCTAATTTAATGCTGCAATACTGCAGACAACTGATACAATAGATGACATGCAACATACTGTGGTAAAGTGGAGAGCCACAAAAACACCCCTATGTAAACAACAGGTGACGGGCGTCCTGAACAACACCTGTCGGGTGTGATGATTGGTTGCATGGAGGATTCTAAGCAGGAAGAAGTAATGAGAGGGATTTTTACCAAACCGCCAAGGATGAAGAAGACCATAAACAGGCGGCCCAGGGTGGTTTTTGCATAAACATCTCCATAGCCCACAGTGGACATAGTAACCATGAGTAAGTAGACACATTCCCAGTAGGAAAGTGCTTGGGAATTCTGGAAGTTTTCCCAAGGATCCCCTGAGTTTTCCACCTGGAAAAAAAGGTAGAGGTTTGAACAACAACCAAATAACCCAAAATAAGTCAATAGAGAACACAGAAATAGAGAATCTCGACATTGCAATTATACTACTTGAGCAGCCATTAGCAACAACACCAAAATGCTTTCCCATTAACTCAATGGCTGCCACTAACTTACCAAGTGAATGAATCCTGCCGCAGTTAGCCACGTGCTTATGAAGATTGAACACAGGTTTACCAGCTTTATCGAGTTGCTATTTCAAAAAGAGCGGAACAAAAGTTATTCATTATTTGATATTTGCCTTGTTGAGTACATTGTGTTTGAATTTAAAAATTGATAAAAAACTTGATTTAACAAAAACCTAGCATACTAGCTCCCTGCAATGATTGTTTATGTTATAAAAAATACCCATGCATTTAGGGAAATGTTCTCCTCACTATGAATGTGAGATTTTCTTAAAATAATAAAGACCATGGCCGTTTCTCAATGTCGAGTAGAGCTGCTGCAAAGCCACTATTTCAAGTATAATACGTCATCGAGTGGCGCCGAATGCTGGGCATTTAAACGGCATTTAAACAGTCCTTCGGCGCCACTCGATGACGTAGTATACTTGAAATAGTGGCTCTGCAGCAGGTATACTCGACATTGAGAAACGGCCCGAGTCTTAATGTGGAAGTGACCTCTGTCCTCTCCTACTTTGTGTTCTGGTTTTACCTTCATCTGAATGAATGAGAGAGGAGATTATTCTCAAGCATTTTGTTACGCTGTAAGCTTTGCCTGACATCTGTGCAAAAAGCTTTAATTCTGAACAGCGAGGAGACAAACAGAAAGCTATCTCGCTTAAGACTCCGTCATACGAGTACGCGTAATTGTAGTACCAAGGAGTAAACTTTATATCAATTTACCAAACCTAATGATCATGCACATTTTCAGGCAAAACATTGCAACAGAGCTTAAGTTCCCCCTTCAAAAAAACAAACCTATCCATGCAAACATCCATATCACGTTCCATGTAATATTTACACATTATAAACAGTTTGCTACAATGGGAAAAATATGAATAATTTAAGTAAACTCACCTTGTCTTTAGTATATTCAAAAACTGTAAAATTTCTGAGAACTGTATCAATCTTAAGGCCCTTAAAAACCTTAAGCCTGTGAGAAAAAAGACCACAAAGCAGTTATCAGAGATGATCAATAACAATTTGAACAACATCCAACGCATTTCGACGGTGGTTTAAGAACACCATACCTTTCAGAGCTTCATCCATGTTTATCCACTTCATTGAACTCATTTTGATAAAAAGGTAAACTCCGACTAACCAAGCAACACTGAGCCTCACTGTATCATAAAATAAACGTTGTGAAATAGGTAAAAAAATCTCGCTTCACAAACTGACACAGTTTTTTTTATCTAAGGAGCCTCGCAGAGCACCAGCATCTACCTGACAAACTCATTCCTGCTGGGAAAACTCTGATCAGACGAGATAGAAACCTGGATTAAAGACAGGTGGACGCTGTCGCAGCAAACTCAATGATTAAACGTGACCTACATTTGAGGGTATCTTTGGGGGGAAAAAAACTTGTGCCTCTTGCCAAGAGTTCAAGGACGGCTAAACACAAACAACAACAACAGTGACACACCAGCCTGAGCTCCTGTACATGATCACTGATTGACTCTATCATATCATCATGTAAGCTATATACCTTAAATCACAACCTTATCATAAGCAGTTTACCAGTTTCTGTCAAAAACAATTGTGATTATTAACACAGATATCACAATCTCCAATTAAAACATACCTCATAAAGTCAAATACACTTTTGCTTGTTATTGTTAAGTACAATGCACTTAACTAAATGAAACATAACATAGGAGTTTAAAAGCCAAATGACTCATAGATGTGACTCAGTTAGAAAAAAGCCACTGCAGTGTCGGGGCTGCATTAACAATTAAAAGCCAACTCAAGCCAAGTGAAATCCATCTCTGCATGCTTCAATCGGGGGGGGGGGGGGGACATTTCCCTGCTGGCATTGATTGTGAGTGTAAATGCCAAATGACACAAATCAAAGACGTTACGGGAAAAAATGTAGCCTGAGAAATATAAATACATAATCTTTTAGGGAATGACGTGAATCATCGTGTGCCTGGCCAGAGCTCGTTTTTCATTTCAAGTGAGCGTTTGCCAGATGGGGGGGCATAATACAGAGCAAATCCTGATCCTGAACCGGCTCCAGCTGGAGTCCAGAGCCCTCTGGACTCTCCAGCCCTCAGCTTTATGGGAGATTCCCCTCATTCACACGTTCTGCAGGTCTTACCCCAGTAGGAGATTACATGAAAGCATGAACTGAGGCTGTGGCAGATGCCGTCCTCGTCCTCTTTCACGCTGACCTGCCCGTGGGTCGTCCTGACCCTGTAGCCCTTCTTGAAGAGCTCCCCGGTCGATTTCTTTCGCCTTCTTGTGTGAGAAACCGTCTGAGAGTGTGTGCCTCCATCGGGCCCCCTGTACGTTAACATCTTTGTAGGAATCATGTCTGCAAGTTACTTTGGGTAGACACTAAAAAAAAAGAGTCCAAAATCTGCTTCACATCCACATCTTTGCTATTCTGCATTCACGTTGCCAGCTTTCATGAAAAAAAATGATATGATCCTCCTCCAAAAGAAGTGAAAAGATACAGGAGCTTTCATGTTGTGTCCATCCAACAGGTCTGCGTCAAAGGAGTCTTTATGAAGAAGCCTTTATATTTGTTTTACCTCAGACCTATAGCATCCTCGCTGTGATCAGGAGTGTTCAGCGAGCTTAAAGCAAACCCTTTTCCCATCAGGATATTAGAGTGTAAGCTCCTTTAGGATTCATCCAGGGAAAGGAAGAGGCCAGACAGCGAGTCGGTCCAACAGCTCGCTCCACAATTCCTATAACCCCGCAACTGCTCCCGACAAACCAAATGTCATTCTCTAATCTTGGACAAGAACAGCATGTCTCGCCTTTATAGCCGGAAACAAGTCATGTGAACGACCAGCAAAGCTGTTTATGGAAAAATTACAAGCTTTGGTAATCTTTGTGTTTTTCTATGGATTTAGTGCTTCTGCAATAATCCCTAAATTAATCACAGATTATGTAATAACCGCTATTGTAGTCAATGTTACATCTAAATGCGCAGCATGACAAATGTCACAGCAAAGAGAGGAAACACAACAGCTGATGTAAATCTATATCCTCAAAGTCCATTTAATCCGAAATGTGTAACATCTTTTTATATACAGTATGTCTCACTGATGTAAAAACACAAATGCCCTTAATTAAACTATAGTAATTAGAAAGGGGTAACATATTTGGATTCATATGCAGTTTTTCATAAAGTGAACTGTCTCAGATATTAACTCTTTAGTTCCCAGGTCCTACAGTTTAGGGAAACATGTATGCTACTTAGTACTAATTATAGATAAAAGAGATTCAGTGTTTAAGTAAGGTATAATATGAGCTGCTGGCAGAGCCTAGAGCAGTGATTCCCCACCTGGAGGTCAGGACCCCCAAAAGGTTCACAACATAATCTGATTAGCAGAATGGAAATTTTGTTTTTACTACACACAGTTATGTTAATCTTTCAGGCCCTCCATTAATCTGAGCTGTTTCATGTTGTTTTATTTATAACATGCTTTTTGAAATCCCTCTTTATGAACTGTGAGATTTAGTGTTAGTTGAACACAAAGAGCCTCTTTTTTAAGAGTTTTAAACTTCAGCTCAGAGAAAAAGAGTGGGCATGAAGAGATTCATATCTTATCTGGGAGAGTTATGATCCGTTTGTCTCATAATATTTGCACTTGATTATTTTCACAGTCAGAGATAAATGTTCTGCTTGTATTTGACCCCTGAAGCACGGCCGAATAAACTACCGAGTTCAGATTTTGCAGTAAAAAAGTATTATCGCACATGAAGCAACTGCATGTTGTTTCGCCATCTTCTATGCAACATCAACAATGTGCGTACTGCTCTCACCCTACCCCATGCCTCAATGTTAACAATGTTAGCACGAGAGAATATTAGCACATACGGCATGTGTGTCGACATGTTCAGACAGCAGGATTGGCCGACTGGCAGAGCGCCCGGTGAAATGTGGAGTTTGATCAGAAGAGGGAGTCGGACAGCTGCGAACAGATGCTGCTGAGCTGGGCATGACCTCGTCACTTGTTCGACCTCGGTTCAACTAAACAGTAAATAAGTCACTAATCCTGCACGACCCACCGCTCCCTGACCATATTGACCGAAATTATTTCTGACAAAATTATTTCCTGTTCTAAAAACAACCGGAAATGTCCGTTTATTGTTTCTGCTTCATCCTAACTTGAATAACAAAAATGTGTTCGAATCAATAAAATATAATACTGTTTTGGACACAATACAAAAGAAAGTATTGGGTAAGTGGTGCATGTTGTTTTGTGCAGTCTGCATGAAGTGAAAATAAGAGAACTGTGCAGGGTGCATGGATCCCAGAGCCAATATGCATGAGAATTATATAAAAAAAGACGAAATCTGAACAAAAAAGCACACATGTTAAAATGTTGCATATAAATTGTCCATAGGAAAACACAGAGATTGACCTAATGACAAAACTGAATGCAGCGATGAGGAGATTAAATCAATAAAAAGAAAAACATCAAGTATCCATTCACTTGAAAGTAAGCACCTTTTGCTACAGAAAGCAATATAACGGCCAGGAACAATGTATCGTAACTATCATTGTAATTCAACCGACAATGACATGGCCAATCTTCACTGCTGCCAAAATCAACACAATACTGTTATACTCTCCTATGTCCACTAGATGGCACCAGGTACCAGCACTAGCTAGTTCTACTTGTATTGTTGTCACACCATAAGTCACAGTACATCAGCCTAGGGGAAACACTCCGACACGTTATGGAACTGTACCTAACAAACTGTCATATTGACTCTAAAGCTGAGGGTGTTCATTGCTGGTGTTAGCAACACGGCAGGCTTGTACCTCGGCTGACAAGAGAAGAAAACGAAGCTATAAAAACCTGTAATGCAGCAAAATAAAGCTCCCCCTTAATCCTGTAATTCCTCACAGACCTTTCTGAGTGATGAGTTTCACACATTTAGGAGATTGGCTTCTATTCAAGCCCTCTACAAAGCCTATTACCATTTTTATCCATTGGGGTATTTCAATCAATCATAGCTTGAATTCATCCGAGTGTTAGTGCAGGTGTGCTGGAGAGGTGAAGGGCATGTGAACAAAACCTGTGGAACAAAGGCCACTGCCTACAACACATGACCAAAGACATGGAAGGGATGACATCTCCATTCAAATCAACTTGCATAAGTGAACATTAAAAGGGCACACCAGATGACAGCCATACCATATTTGATAGTGTTGTCATGCGATCGAGCATTAGTTTGACGAGTAAAGCAAATAATGCTTCTTAATCGCCATGCTTTATAGTTTTCATGCTGGAGAAACATTTTTAATTTATAGCAATAGTGAGGATTGTTTGGACTGTGTCATGCAACGTCCAAAAAAAGTTACATCTGTGACAAAATTATCAAACTTATGTGGCTGATATTGCAGCTGTGCCGTGAAATACTTGGTGGTTCTCTTTTTGCAGCTTTAGTGGTGTGCTGAGATTATCTGGTGCGTTCACTGACAGCTGTTAGACCCGTTGTATCCACCAGGAGGCAGCACAGCCTCCCTGGAAATAAAAAGCCCAGAGATCCACTGTAGGCCTGTTTATCAGCATCCTTACCCAGCCAGCTCCTGTTCAGATACACCGACACAAACACCGGAGGAACTGTGAAGAAGTCCACCACCGAGTTCACCTCCAACCAGAACCACAGCTTGTCGTTGGCAGCAATGAACTGAGGGAGATAAAGGGTTACATGTAAGATTCACACGGTACACTGACAAGAGTAAATAAAGATGGGAACAATTTTGAATGTTCGCAACTTTAGCTTTACTTACCCGGAGGCCGAAGTACAGCAAGAAGAACACGTTGAACGCCATGTCGATCTGCAGCGTGAAGTCTTTGTAGAAGTTCTGACACGACTCGATAGGACTAAAACACAGAGAGAGAAACACAATGTATATTCATATTGTACACATAGTGGTGGAGAAGTGAGGAAAGGGGTGGTAAAATGCATATATTTATTCAAAAATAAAGCATAAAAGATGCATTCTTCACTTGCTCTTTTCCAAAGAAGAGGAACTGAATTATTGAAAGAAGTGCAATAATTGGTATTTCTCCAATGTTTTTTCTGCAGAGAAAGGACATGCATTTATTGTCACTCAAGCAAACTCTTGTAGAGACGCCCGATTAACCCTTAAATAACTGCAACAAAATCTATCATATTCCAGGTGCTATATCACATAATGAAAATGGTGCCATTTTCCGATCTCATAGACAAAATTTCAGGAAGAAATTAAATCAAACATGATGGAAATGCAGAGCAAAAGCAGTAGTTTAAGGGTTAAATGCATGCAGGGTTCATGTCTTCTTTTATGAATCAAGCAGCCATAGCAAATGCTAGCAATGCAGTGAAGTCTCACCCTCAAAAAGCTTGTATCTGGCACAAAGAATTCAAATAAAGAGAAATAATTAACCAAGTAAATGTGACTGTAAAAGGTTAGTAGGTGGATACAAATGATGAACTGGAAGATAAAATATTTTTTTTCCAAAATATTATTAACAACTAAATGCAAAAAACAAGGGGGTGACAGTTAAGGGGAACATATATTTGATTAAAATTGAATTATTAATCATTTATATGAATAGTTGAGTTAGAATGAAGACTTTTATGTCTGGTTTATCGTGAGTTGATCAATTAGTGGCCAGTAAATGAATGTGAAACAATTCTGCTAATTGATTAAATGTTTCAGTTGTTTATCAAATCAGAACATTAAATTGTGCCATCTTCTGAATTGTGAAAATCTACTCTTGTTTTTAGGTTATTTGGGAAATAATGATTAACAGGATAGGAAAGCATAAAAAACATACAGTAAATCAGGAATACATTGTGATTTCTTTGTATTTTTTGGGGTGAATTATAGGATAATATGTCATCAGTCATACAAATGAATCTGAGAGGGAAAAGTGACTCTTTGGTTAAGTCTTTAATATTCATGGACATATCCAACCCCTAATGATGGGCAACACATATATATATTGCTTTGTTAAACTTGTTTGGTAACTTACGTTACGTAACGTTTTTATTATTTATTAAAATTAAGGTTTGAAATCACTCCCATAAAGCAGGTTATTGTCAACCATGGCTTTCTGCTCCTAAACATTTTAGTGCCAATCAGATCCGTCTCATACATTCAGTTTATTTCATACCTCTGTAAACTCTCACTCACCATCTCCACTAACACACACCACATTACTCAACATCTACCCAGTGCTGTTTAATACGGTTCGGATTAAAGCAAATAGCTTTTGTTATGTAAAATAATCTAATAAATTCAGTTTGATAAAACTCTGTCGTGCTAGAGTTGGAATGAGGTAACATAAAAAAAAACCTCTGGGATTATTCTGAACCGATCTGATGCACTGTACTGACACTCAGGTCAGTGATGTGATGAGGGAGACTCAAAACGTCCTCATCGCCCTCAGCCAGTCCTGAGGCTAATCCGGGCAGTATTTATAAAAATCCTTTGTATTTAGCCAACACAAGACAATTTAAGATCTTTGTCATTGCATCTTAAAAGCAAAACAATCCACATCACCACAATCCACATCATGTAACTGATGATGTAGAGAAAACTCAATGTTTTTACTGTACTCTAATAAATATTTGGCAACTATTCCTCTTCCAGTAGCATCTTAGCATCTCTTTAGGAAGCTTGCTATGATTTTTCCAACATTTGTTAAACCCAGGAGGAACATTTGACTTAACTGTTACAATCAATTCAGGGTTAGGTTATATGGCTAACATTTCTTATACTGATATAGATCATTTCACATTCTCAATAATCATATCACAATATAGCATGTTTTCTGGTAAGTCAATAAAAAAATAATAATATTGAAATATATTCAGCTATACACTGTTGTTTTTTTTATTGTGATGTAAGACAAAACCGTCTTCTTAAAAAGATTTATTCTGTTTTTTTTGTATGTGCTTGTTGTTATTATTATTTTAGACGTTGTAATTGTGTCTATCAGGATTTCCTCGTATATATAATTGAATTAACGCTTCAGTTAAAAAAGTATTAATTATATTATTAAATCTTGCCTCTTAATTTTAATTGTCTTGCGCATGGATAATTACTCTGGAAAATAACCGGTCTTCTTTAAAGCACCTCCAGGTCCCTATAGGTTGGATGGTTCTGCCCTCATTCACTGTAATGACACGTCAGCCCGCCAAATCTCTGCCATAGCAGGGTGACAGACCATATAGTAGGCCGACCTGACTGCTAAATAATTGAGTTCCAGTAGACCTGGTTTGGAAAAGGACTAAGCCTGTTATGGATCAGAGACCCTCCCTGCTCAAAGTCCCTCTCTTCCTCATTCAATAAAGACTCAGATCAAACAGGACGAGGAGACCTTCATGTTGGCTGATGGCACCGCACGTGATTTACAACCTTGATAGTCAAGAAAAGCTGAATCCACTGAAAGTGAAAGATCACCCGGACCAGGTTTTGTTTTAAATGTGTTAAACTGTAATTCTCTTTTTCTCCATGAGGCATAATAAACCCCTACGATGAATAATAACGTGTTTGATGACAATACATCTGTTATAAGTGAACTACTGTACAAGATATAAATAAAAATGGCCAGGCTGTAGGTTTGTAAGCTTAATGTTTTTTTGCCCGCCAGTGGCTAAAGAAATCAATGAATGAAAATGAAGCAAGAAAATATATCCTTAAGAAGAGTCTGACTAAGATTTCAACACCACTTTTAAATACTCAGATTGCTCAGTATCACTGCTGAGTTTGACACCCAGCTCTGCTTTAACATTGATGAAACAACAAAGGACAGTGTGTCCTACAAATCAAACGAGACTACGTGGAAGCACAGGTTGAAAAGTTAGACACAGCTACAGATTCATTATCTCTGTGATGCCTGTAGCTCTAACTGTACTGAAACTTAGAGGGTCTTGCTTTGTTGACGTCTCTCTGTGTCACTTGCAGCCAGGTTGTCCCCGCCCATCATACGACAGCCACAGCAGCCCGCAGGACTAACTACAGGAAAGGCTGTATCTGTTACAGGGTGCTGCCACTTACAAGCATGGAAGAAAGCAGCTAACTGGCAGCTCTTTCTTTAAGTTCAGGGCTTGTTGGGTTGACAGGTAGTGAAAAAAAAAACACTATCAGAATAATAGAAAGCCCTGGACAAGACTGAATTGAACTGGGACAAAGAGCCTGGTGTATGAATATGAATATAAGTCATCGAACAGGTGCTGCTGCTTCATACCTCATTGTGTATTTAACAAAGCCCTTACTTATGCGTGAGAGGTTAAAGACAGGTCGTAGGTCACCCTTCATCAGGTGAAAAGGGTATCGGACGCCGCTATAAGCGATGTGGTGAGAAGAGGAGGCCACAGATGGCATTGGTGAGGATGTAACTCTACCTGGTCCAGTTAATAAAATGAGAGCATGCTCACAAACCACATCAGAGAAGCCAAGCCTTTCACTGTATGCAGTCTTATGAAATAACAACAACATGCCTCCAGGACATGAGCCATTTTACAAAGTTTACAGCCTTTTTCTCTTCACATTACTCCCAGCCGTGACTCCCTTTGGCTTGATAAAAGCTTTTATCCTGTGTATTTAGCTCTACTTGTTAATGACGCTTCCTGTTCAAACACCAGCAGGCTGCAGTTACAGTACACTAATGGGGTCCTCCAGTTCGATGAGTGACGGTGATTGGTTTTGAACAGGAACTTGGGTCTTTCCTGCCTGTTTGATAGTCTGATCCTTTTGTACAGAGATTAAGCGAATTTCATCAGCGAGCTCTGGCTGTTTGTCAGCAGAGACCTTCAGTAAGCTCAGAGCAGTTAACCTGGATGGGGATTGGATAAAAACAGCCAGCAAGAACATGCTCTGAAATACCATATACAGAGCACAAAGCACTCAGTTTAATTAGGGAGGAACTACAGCACTATATGAGGATTTATGAGAGTGGAGCAAACAGTTAATGACTGGGCCCTCTGAGGGTATTCTAAATCATAAATGTCTGAAACTCATACAATTGTACCTTCAACCAATCTAATCATTCTAACTGAAGCATCATCAATTTAACAGCGGGATTTCAGAAGACCGTAACAGAGAGCTTTGGGAATGAATACTACATCCTGAAAATGAGTTAGCATTTTTGCACTTCCTGTTCCCCCGCCTCAAAGTCGATGTTTTTTTTGTTTGATACTTAAGGACTGGAAGACTTAATGACTCAAGACCACTTCTCAGTTTCTTGATTTCTCAAATATTCCGGGGTGGAGCAGGTTAAACCGGGTCAATTGTGTCATATAAGCTAAAGTAGCAGCATAATTAAGTACAAGGATTAAAGTAAAAAAATACTCACTCAGAAGAATCAATGAAGTATATAACAAGGGCCCCAATGCTGAGAGCAAAGACGAGCACCACCTGGAAAAAAGAAAATAGGAGCATTTTACTCAGTTGTTAGAACACGACTCAATCTAGTTCAGAAAAAGACAGTAGATGTTATTTCTTCGGATGCTTGGCACTCTAGTACAGGAAAGGGCAAAAGGAGGGCACCAGATTTATGCTTCAAACGCTTTCGGCTGGAAATACAAATGTATTCTAATATTAAAAGTGATGTGTAAAGTGTGGAGGAGTTTGCAACAACAAAATGCAAAATAAATATTCAGGTATTGATGATAAAGACTATTTCAAAAATAAATACAAAAATCAGGGAGAAATACAAATAAATAATGGCAATGAAAGTTAAGTAAGAACTCAAAAAGCGTTAAGAGAAGCACAGAATATGACAAATTAAAATGTATTTTCAACACATTATTATTTGATAATACCCAGTAGACCATTCATCTGTTAGCCGAATGAAACCTACAACTTTTCCGTTAATGAGTAATCAGTTTCTTTGTTTTATTTTAAACAAAACTAAATTATATTACGTGAATGTTTCCCTTTAACCAGACATAATGATGGATCACTAATTACAAATTCATCAAGAGATGAAAATTATCTTTATTTGCAGATTTAGATCTTTTTAAATTAGAAAAATGTGTTTCAAGGTAATCAGCAAATATGTAATGCCTATAAATGAGCATCGACAGACGTAAATATGTCTTCTCAGGCACTCATAATTGTGTTATATAAATCAAATAAAAAAGAGTCACAGTTTGGAGCAACAGTGTCACAAACAGACTCATCAGTACTGTATATATGACAGTGTAAATAAATACACAAGAGCTCAGCTCATCATGTAAATAGGCAGTGGAAGAGTGGGCGAGGTGACAGAAATGGCTTCAGCTTTCACAGACACAAACAAGGAAGGATCCGCTGAGCCCCGAGCTTCTAGGAGCCACGGTGGAGCAGCATGAGAATCAAACAGGGGCATCACTTTGACTCAATCACGCTGCCTTTCTACAAGAGGACATGCTGTTGAATAAAAAGAAGCCTGGAGTGTGTGGAGACGTTCAAAAAGGAAGTTACATTAAATAAAATCACTGCAAAAACAAATATGAGATCCATGGGTGTTAGTAAACTAATCAGGTGAGAGCTCTGAGACTGGTAGAGGGAAAACTTGAGAGAATATAACAACAAATCAGACCACAACTTAAATACAAATAGAAAAACTTGGAAAATTCCGTATATTGATTTCTAGGAGGAAAACAGAGCTTGTGGTTACAATCAATGTTACCTGTAGGAAAACAACCTGTGGTCTCTCCTGATGCAACGCTGCTGTCACTCAGAATCACAGTTAAATTCACAAGTGAATGCTGTCATGTTGTGTTTGTCAAGCGGAGAAGAAAGTGGAAGATTATCAAAGCTGGAGGGGCAGGGGACAAAATCCCTGTTACCTAACTGGAGCATACTTATTAGAAAGTAGGCTACACGTAACTAAACCACTGCCATTTGGGTTACAAAAAACACGCCGGTTTTAAGTCTTTAAAAAAATGGAGTTAATTGTACATAAATAATGATTTGAAGTCAAAAAAGGAAGCAGCTCATTAATACTGATGCATAGTGTCCTAATTTCCCCTTGTAAACGTCAGTGCTAATGCGGCACCCAGAAAGACGCTGACTCGCACAGAAAGGTTTCTTCCAGACAGCAGAACCAATGTTTTTCATCCTGAAATACACTACAGGGGTATCTGCGACCCTACCTGGCTTTCATCTATTTAGAAATGACACAAAGCCCATCCTGAACAAGAAACCGATGGGCATCCATAATGAATGAGCTCAGCCTCATTCATTTCCATGATGTGAAATTGTATTGTCAACCTGCAACCACTGATGGCTCCGTAATGACAAAAAGCACCCGCATGCATTTTTAATCGACCCTTCCTCTTTGAAAGCCAGGAAATCTCTTTATGCCTCTGACCAGCCCAGTTTAGAAACTTGAAACAATGTTGGTGCAACCCTGGAAATGCTAATGTCGCTGGCAGAGAAAGATTCAGTAAATAAGACACATGGGGCTGGAACAAAGGGAGGGCAATCATGACTGGGTTTGTCAGGGACAGCCGGTGCCAGGATTCATCATTCATCTCATTCAGCGGATAATGAGGCATCACATCTGTATCTTGAGCCACCCTCAGCCATTTACTGGCAGATGGCTGCAGCTGCTCGGACTCAGAGAGGAACGACGACAGCACATGCCTTTTGCATGACGACCACGAGAGCTGCCCAGACATACTCCAATTTGCATCTTCCTTCTCTTAACTAACTAAATCTTATGCTCTTCACTTCATACTGTCGCCAATTAAAAGATAGGAGAGAAAAGTAGTGGTAAGAATACTTTTCTGTCAAAAGACCAGGAAAGAAACTACTTTATAGAAACCACTGTGGAATAAAGGAAACGTTTTTTTTATCAAATATCAGGGAAAGTCACAAGTAACTTGAGAAAATTCCAAGTCAAGTGTCAAGTGATATGTAAAATAATTAAAAAGACAAGTCATTCAAAACAAGTCCATGTCGCGTGTCAAATATTCTGATGGTGGTTCAAGACAAATCTTACAAACATGGGGACTGAAATTGGGCATAGTCTTCAATAATAATCCAGCTGCATTTGAACATGTTTCATTAAAAACTGTGTTGATCAAATCATTTATCACATTTATATTCAAGTTGAATGCTTTTCTTTTACTAATGCAGGGGAGTGGGAGTGTGTGCGGTATGTTGTGCAGATCATAAAGTCCTTTCAAACTAATTGGTGATTCTGCTACAAACATAAATGAAAATAACTTGAGTGCTTTTGCTCTTAATTCTCAAATAAGTCTTTAAGTAGTGAAGTCATGTTCACATTGATCAAGTCCAAGTCAAGTATACATTTATTTCTGAAATCTGTGAAAAAAAATGTATTCTCTAAATAACTTTATAAGAAATCTCCAGTCCTTCTCAGAAAAAACAAAACAATTCTAAACATTTTATGAAAGTATTTATAATCATACATTTTATGTTGAAAAGAATCTTCAAGGTCAACTTTCATAACAGATTATAATCCACCAATGTTTTTGTCGATGATACACAGTATGTTGTCGCAGCCCTGCAGAGTGCACCTTCAGGTCTCAAGCTTTCAGAAGTCAACCTACAAAACAACGGAAAACCCACTCATGCTCCTCCACTCTTCCCGAAGTATGACTCAACATCAACAAGCATGAATAGCCTGCCAAAGAAACAGAAAGTCAGCTTCCACAGTAAGAGATATTTTACTGTAGTGTTCTGCCACCCTCTCTGATAATTCAGAGTAAAATGACACTCCTGGCATCGAGGCAAATTACGTATTTTCAATATTAAGCAATGGCAACCAAGGCTCCTTTTAGTTTGATCTGTGTTAAAGACTTGCTGGATTGTTTGCAGCGTAACATTCCTACAACATTTCACTGGAGCTCCGCGGGCGGCAGATCTATCCGAAGACAGGTTTCTTCCACAGTGCCTTGTTGTATATTCTGTACACTAAGTGACACACACTTTCACACAGGCCCGGCATATGTACTGCAGCTTTTCCAGCGGTTGGAGCTAAACGGAGCTGTCTCGTGTGAACAGACACTTTCCGGTGTCTATTGCGTGGGGACGGAAGCCTTTTTTGCGATTGCGTTTGCGTATGCGTTTTACCGTATGCGTCCTCGTGGGGCCGGGGCCTGAGACTGTCAGTAGTATCGAATAAAATAAACAATGTTAATAGTGGTATTGAGACCAAAATGTAATCATTTATTGTTAGAATCATCCTTTCAATACATGATACAGCTAATACAGATACAAAAACGAAATACCAGTAATGTGTCAAAGATAACCTGTCAGTTGCATGGTTGCGTAGAGAAAAATACAACAAGATTTGAATCTTAAGAAAATTACCATGAAGTGATCATCAGGAGAAAAAAATAAGGCAAAGACTTACAGTATAAAATGTACAGCCACGCGATTATATAATACGTATATAACATAGACAACAAAAAAAGGGAAACCACGCATGTAAAACAAATGAAGTGTACAGACTATACAACAAGGCACTGTAGAAGAAACCTGTCTTTGGATGGATCTGCCGCCCGCGGAGCTCCAGTGAAATGTTGTAGGAATGTTACGCTGCAAACAACACCTTTAAATCTTTAAACTAAAATCTGATCAATTACATCGATAATTCAGAAATTATTACTAATAATTGTTAAATATTTGCAAACTGAGTCACTTAAAGGGGCATTGCGCACTGTTTTAAGGCCTTTAAATGGTGCTACATCAGGAGCTTTCGATTAAAATGTCTGACTTTTAGTCATATTTTGTGGATTTTTGCTTTTGTGAATGCCAGCAGGAATGAATTATTATCTCTTAGTATAAATGTTTTTTGTTCTTCTAGCAGTGATTTTGCAAGAAAGAATAACAGAACTTTACAAAGAAAAGAAAGAAAAAGCCCTACATATTGACCTATGGAAGTGATGGATAGGAAGAGGATAGGGTAACATGTGGAAAATGTTTTTTAGCTTTGAATTTATGCAAAAAGATACGGTTTATGCATCGGAATATAAAGTCAGAATTTGGAGTTTTGAGATTAATATTAAGAACTATTTTTTTTGTCCCCTCACAATTCATATTTTAAAATCTCAGAAATAGATCTAAATTCAGAAATTAAAATCACAAATCTTTTCATCCTCGGAATTCTTCAGTTAAAGGGGACCTATCATGCAAAATGCACCTTTGTATGTCTTTTATACATGAATATGTGTCCCCGGTGTGTCAGGGAACTCACCAAGTGTCAGAAAACACAACCCTCTCTCTTTTCCTCCATACCCAAAATCTCTAAAAACGGGGCTGCAACGGATCTGATACAGACTGATACAGATTTGAAAATAGTCTGACGTCAGTGACGAGGAGCTCCGCCTATATGGCCAACTCTCCACCAATCAGGGGAATGAGAGGTTGCCGTGGCATGGTAACAGCATGGTAACAGC